AATCAAATTAAATGCTTATTGATAAGGGCTGACCGTAAGTTAGATTTGTATGCTAGTGCCTTAATCTACTTAATGATGCCAAAAAATCTTTGATGTGAACGGAATAACACAAAGACGGGTGTAAACTGACCGCCTGCGTGCGGAGTTTGTCAATTTGTTTGGAGGAACTGAAATCTTTTTATTTGATGGATGATTTATTCTTGTCATACACCGAAGCTTTTAAGAAAATGATTTATGTTTCACAAATCTACCTGATTGAAGAACGTCTTTAGGGAAAATGACTTGTTCACATGCTGCTTACATCCGGTCAATGGTCTCTTTAGGAGAATCACTTGTGCGGAGGAACACTACATCAACAGTTGTACTTTTATTAATTCATAAAATTCTAGGTACATCTTGATTAAGACCACCAATATATGACCATACATCTACGTTGATACAAGTTTAAACTTGTATATAAATTTTGTGGTCTTTGATTTTTTTTTTTTTTTTTTTTTTTTTTTTGGTATAGTTATCCTCTGCTAAATGTTAAAATGTTATATTTCCATTTTCTTAAATTCAATATATAAACATTTTTTTTTAAATGTAAAGACATAGTTTTAACTGATTTTGGTGATGTTCTTGCTATTTGTCGGATCAAAATGTTCTATTTCATGATCGAACACATTCGCTAATTTCTAAGGGAAACAGAAATTATGATGCAAAAACTTTATTTTCTCTTATTCTCTTATTACAATTATTTTTTAAAATCGATTCTCAAAACTTTTTAACATCTTTGCAACATAATAATAAAGAATTAGATTGTGGGTTTGTCCTTCTTAAAGTTTAAAAAAGAGGATTGTTGGAATAAACCTAAAATTTATAGTAAGCACCTTCTTTTATTTGGTTATCCATCGTGGTTTACATCCAAATCAGCAAACGTTTTTTTTTGTTTTGAACATATTTTATTGACAATATGTCAATGGGATTGGACACAAGTTCCAAAACCTTCGATAGTCCTTTCCCATACATAAAATCTCAATAGCCATACAATATTTACGAAGATTTACAATTTTTCAATAATATATACATGAAAATAGAAGAAAAAAAACAATAGGTATTATTGCCCTAAATACCAATTGATATTCTAAAAATCATAATGGCGACAATAACCATAATAAAAATATTTTCAAAAGAGGTAGTAAATACAAATAAATGTTAATTGAAACGACCTGTATCCTGATAAATTTTTTAACAATACCAAATATTCTTTCATTTTTCTTGCAAAGATAATGATTCATCTCCCCAAAGCAGTCTATGTACATTTAACATTTTAATATCATTGAATACAAGTAAAGAATTCAACATTACAGGTCTAGCTTCTGGATACCGGGTATTTTCTACACACAGAGAAGTAATGATGACTATCCTCCTTATATCCACAAGAACAGTTTGGATTTGTTATAATGTTACATCTGTATAAGTCATAATTTAAAATACAATTGTGCCCTAATTTTGTATGTAAAATGTTAAGATACCTTTTCCATATGATAGATATCTGGGAGGCTTGTCACTATTATTATTCAGTTTTCTTTTGAAAATTCCTTTTGAAGTCATTTCTCTTATAGACTGACATATCAGTTTCATACTTGGATATTTTTCTACATTTTGGCTCGAAATAATTACTTGAATTACGATAATTGTAATTTGAAACAATGTTTCTAATTATTACTGAAACAAAATTTTTTGTAGATAATGAGGAGCTGGGTTATTGTGGATATTTAACAATGTTAAAAGTTTAGTTTTATCCCTTCTTATTATAGGAGGTTCCCATCCTGTTTCAACATATAACGAAATGCTTGATGCTAATACTGACAGACCTCTCACGATTCTTACAGCGGTTAGTTGAACTTTTTCAAGTTTTTCAAATCCAAATTATATATATTTGATGAAAACTTGGCATTTTCAGACATTTTTTACTTCAAACTTGTCTTTATGATGACGTTTAATTTTTATATCCAGTCATTCCAGTGGTGAAAATTAAATTCTTACCAATTTTTAGATTAACTAATGATTACGGAAATGCTTTACTTATGTTCCATTTACTTACTTTCTTAATCTTTAGTATCATCTTCATAAAATCTGAAATATGTAACATAGACTTGAATATGTATCATATACATACATATAGTGCACTTACTTAAGGTAATATATTGTCAGTCAAGTAATATGCCACCTTCTGTCATTTTTTTTTAATTATTTGTTTGTTTGTTTGTTTTTTTTTTCTTTTCTTTAAACGATTGATATCAAAATTTGATAAAATAGCAGGGTCGTACAAAAAGCGATGCAGTCTTTGTAAAAAAGAAACTTTAAAGTCAATTTGAACAAAACATATCAAGAACAGAGCAAACACGGACCTTTAAAACACAAGGTAAGATTGAGTGCCATGGTGGAGTGAACATCTGTCCTCAAAACTGATGTATGCTTCTTATCATGATCGGCAAGTACTGTAACAATCTGTAGAAATGGAGACAATTCAGTGTGTGAATAATGGCCCAAAATAATTATTTTGAAAAACGTCCAACAGCATTTGACTTAATGAGAGATTATAATTGCTTACAAGGTTGTTGTATCGACCATAGAACTTTCGAAATGATGACTTAAAAGCACAAGGGGCAGTTACATTTTTAATCCCTAAAAGTGTTCCTTGTTAATCTTTTTTACATGGTTTCCCTTTTACACATGTCTCTGTCTGTAGTTATGATCAGAACATTTCTAGAGGCCCGTGTTTTATGCCATATTTAAAGATTTTTGATATTTATAAACTTTTTTATAATCAAACACTGTTCAATATGTTCTCATTTATCAAAATTTAAACAGAATGGGTAAAAATAAGAAAACTATTGCTTTATTGTTTCCTGTTACATATACAGGAATTTGGAAGATCCATGAACATTTACCATTTCCTTCACGTTTGGTATTTATTTTATTTCAGAAGTACAGTATATAGCATTTATTACTCCAGATGGTTTCCTGATATAAAAAAGAAAATACTAGTAATGCATGGTTATGAGTGAAAAAACTTGACTGGGAGTTCTTGCCAAATTAGACCAATGTGCTGCCTTCTTCTGGTAATATGGTATCAAAAACTACAAATAAACACATGATATAAATGCCCTCTTTCATGCGAATTAAGAAGCAAGGACGTGCCAACATACAAGCAACAGCAAAGTGAAGCTAATGACTGTCATTTGTAATCGGAAATGGATAAAGTTCGGGTGGCTTAAATTTGCACTTTTGTTTTCTAAAAATGAACATTTTTTCCTAATTCATAATTATGTTTGTTGCTGAATTAAAGTTGGCAAACACGTATCCAATGCCGGTATTGAGGGTACCGTAACGAACAGTACAATTTTACCTTGTTATAACTATCCTTATTTTTAAACTGCAACTAATTATCCAACCTAGCTGTTGCTAAATCCTAATTTGAATCCTTAACATATCTAACAAAAGTTTACTTCTGATGAAAAATCCAGAATATAGCAATCGACTGCTGACTTACGTTAATTAATGAATTTTTAGCATGGTCTTCATATGACTAGCAATAATTTTAATTTATTCTAATGCCCCTTAATTAAGTGAATAAAATTGGACAGCATCTGCATTGTCTATTATTATTCATTTGTTAATATTCAAAAGGTTTACACAATCATGAACGGTATCATATACTATATATAAGATATTTATTTATATAAATTATTTATATCCATACAAAATATAGAGCTCTAGTGTATAAGATATTTACATGAGATCAAATTAAAAACTCAAAGTTTCCTTGAATTCAAGGCAACCTTAATAAATTGATCTTTATTGTATAATTTGTAAAGTTGGCGAATCTTCACATTTATAGGAACTTAGATATTTGCATAGGATTGTAACAGGAAAATCACACTAAATATTACATGAAATCATATAGAAATAGAAAACCGGACGTTTTGGTTTAGTGCATGTTTTATAAGGCAAGTGCAACTGAGGCGCCCCTGGAATCCAAGATGGCAAATGTAAATCCTTTCGTCTTTTATACACTGAGATATGATATTTTTAAATGCTTATTTCAGCATTTTTAGAATCTGAAATGGGTGTTTTTTTATTCTGACAGACATAGGAAAAAACCCAAATCAGATCATCCTTAAACAATTAAAGCTCCTACAAATTTAACAACTGGGGTAGTTATATAAAAAGCACATGTGTTTAAGAAAAATAAAGTGTTATGCTAGAAGAAGGAAAGTGTTTTAACTAACTTGGGATTATCACATTCACGTAGTACCTCTAGGTGCATACTATTAAATCAATTCTCATTTTAAGTTAAAAGATCAGGAAATAAAACAACAAAGCACAACACACATAAATAAACTGTTCACTGTGATAGTTCACATCCCCTTAAAGATCAATAAAACTGTTCAAATTAGTTTCCAGTTTGATGGAAAAGTTTTTAAAATGACTGGACCATATGTAATCATTTACGGTGGGGTTTTTTCCCCAAATACTTGATGAAATACTATTTTATTACATTTCAATTATTCAATGATTAAGACATATTTGTCTTGATTACCAATTGAGTTTTAAGAGTTATGTCCCTTTGTATTATTTTTAGAATTAACACTTGATGAAAATTCCCAAAATCGTGTCATTTAAATCCATTGAAATCGAAAATAAAATTATTTTAATTCGAATGATAACACTGCATTTGATATTCAAGGTAAATAAAAAAAAAAATATAAAATCTTGAGCATTAGATGGAATACATATTTTCTAGTAAAACAAACCATGTTGTAGTCTTTAAAAAAGTTAAACTGAAAGTACAAATTAATGAAAATTTCTGATAGCGTAAATAGATTGCTATTCTAATCAAACAGGAAACGAACTTTAGGTTAGAGTAAGGCGGATGTCCCTTCTAACGTTTTTAATTTGTTATTCAACGTTTGAGAATGCCTTGAAAGAATAGATTGTGATATTTGCCAAGCATCCATGCAGCATTGTTCTTTTAAGAATAACTTCTCAACGAAGATGGATGAATGCGATTTGTGTAGATCGGCATTGAATTGCTCTGGAAAGAGATCACGCTGTTCTTACTGTAAAAAGGTACTTTTTTATAAATCTAATTTCATTTGTATTAATTTCTGAACACTGCCGGTATCCTCGGTCTTATGTGATTTCAGAGTCCTTTCTTTTAACTTGTATTTCTCCAACAGGTGCTATGTGAAAGCTGCAGTGAATTGAAATCGAAACTACTTTTCATGACAAATTCATATGGAGACACTTGCTTATGCATTCTTCTACAGGAGCTGGGTATCATTTTTAATTAACATTCAATGATTCTAAACACTAAAAGTAAATATTTTCTCTACAAATATGACGTGAGATTAATTGCTGATACATATTTAAGTCTTAATTGTTATTTGAAAGTGATTTTTTATGACTTTGCATACACAGTGGGACCAGAGGTATCTGACACCCAAAAGAGTAAACTCAGTACTGCCGAAAAATCACCCCGTTCAGAAAACTCGAAAAGCATGAAAGATCTGGCGGACATTGAAAGAAAGAAATCGTCTGGGAATGAGTCTTGCCAAAATCTACCATCTCAAGAAAGTATCCTACATTTCAACAAAAGTGGATCTCATCATGAAATTAGTAACCTTGATACAATTGTTAGAAAAGGGTCTGAAAAAAAGGTTGACAATGAATCAAGTAAACAAAAAGAGCCTTTAAGGGAAGAAAGAAAAGAAAATTTAATTGAAGAGAGTGGAAGCAAATCAAGAAATATCGAAGCAGATAACAAAGACGAAATTGATTCTCCCGAACTTTTAAAAGAGACAACAAAACCCTCACAAGAGAACATCCCAGATAAAAAGTCAAATCAAATACTTATAGCATATCAAAGTGGACCTGAGAGTCTTGGAGAATTCACAAACAATTTTAGTGTCAAAAGTTCTACATCCTACGGGGTTCAGACAGATAAAGTGATGACTGGGAGTGATGAAGTCTTGGAGAAAAGAAAAGATGTAGATGACAAAAACCAATCTGAAAATGTTTTGGAAACCAGGACCCGTTATCAGTCGTTGTATCCTGTCATTGAGGCAACGGACCAAGGAACTGGGCAAAAGTGTAAGTTGGTATTATAAAAATGCATATAGATTCTTATATATTGTGCACATAGTATATTCTTTGTTTAAAAGATTAATTAATATTTCTAACACATTTATTTTATATGGAATATGATGTGTATTATTTAAAGGCAGCTCAGATCTCAAACATCACAGTGAAAACGAGAAGAAAGAGAAGGAAGAATCAAGTGACAACACAGCCATGATTAAACACCAAGAAAGTAGAAACGCGCAGAACATATTCTCACCAGACAAAGAACGTGTTCCTTCAAAATCCTTAAATGATAAACTAGAATCTAATGTTGATACAGATGCTTGGAGAAATGATGAATCCAGAAAGGCTCAAACACATTCTACACCACACTGGAATAAAATGCCCCCATCTTATCCAAACTGGGGATATGATCAGCCAATAGGAATGTTTTCCGATGGATTCCAACCCTTTGGGAATTGGAACAATAATTTAACACAAAATGCTTGGGACCTCCAAGATGCCAAGGGAAAAGATTCATCCAGTGATAGTCAGTCAAAGAACAATTTAATACCAAGGAATACAGAAGACTCAGATATGTTAACATCCTTGTCACCACCACAAGGAATAAATTTACCAGATCAAAATCATTTACTAGATGCTCATCTTCAGCCAAGTTGGCCATCATCATCTTTGATCACAGGAAGAGAGCTCAGAAGTCCAGTGACACCTCAAACGTGGAAAAATGAACAAGAAAGGCTTCGTGTGGAGACATCAGAAACCAACACTTTCGGTCAGACATCGAAGATAGACGTTTTGCCTGCCAAGAGAGAAATTCCATCGACATCATCAACAAAACATAAGAAGAAATTGTCAAAACATACTTGTGCAGGTAAGATGGGCATTACTAGGGCTATGAATGAAAAAGAGTCAGGATAGGTTGATTAATGACGTTTATTTGCAAAGTATCTGCATGAACGTACAGATTTTTTTTTTCCATTTAAATCCAGTCCATTAAACCTTCCATATTTGTAGGATGTGGCAGAAGAGACTGCGAGGGTCAGTTCATGAAGCTGATGAAAGCAATGACAGTCGCTGCTAAGAATAACAATTTCGTCGTTCATAATGTAGTTCCAGACGGAAACTGTATGTTTGCTGCCATTGTGGACCAACTAGAAATTAATGGCGACTGTTCTTTTAGCTCTAAATCACTCCGACAGGCCTGTGTGGAGCACCTGAAAAATCACCCCGAGTCTGATGATGGTACTCACTATGAAATGTTCATGGATGGAGAGTCCTGGTCGAATTATTTGGATCGTATGACCCAAGAGGGACAATGGGGAGATCATCTCATGTTACAGGCTATATCACAAGTACTCAACTCTCTCTCTTTCGCTCTTTCTCTCTCTCTCTCTCTCTCTCTAATAAAGTTTACGATCTGATTTGGAAAAGTTATATCATTAGATATTTTCTTTGCAAAATGCAAAGTCGTTATCAATATAATGTCATGTGTAATATTTATAGATTATACAAAAACGTTTCATTAAACTGAAAAAAATTGTTTCTCAGCACGGAAGATGAGAGAAAAATTATCCTTGTATTTCCCGTTTCATATACATGTATATTAATAGCAGATTAATGGTCATTTATAGAGTAGGAAGACAATGCATATTTGTAAAACAGTATTCAAGACTGAACGCAAAGATTTTCTACATCAAATATCTAAAGTTTTTACATTTTCCTTGCGTTAATTGCAAAACTAACTTGTAAGACATTGCTTTAAGTAGAAAATAGTTTTAAAAGCAGGATCTTTTTTATGCGTTGTTACTTAAACACGCCACCTAAGAGTTTTCGTATTAAAAAAGAAATATAATTTCATAAGGGAACGTACATGAATACTGGTAAAAATATCGACTAAGTGGCTGAAAATTGTAAACGGTTTCGACCTTTTCGGCTGGTTTTAAAATCTTCGCCGTCCACAATGTTAAGACTATAAGCCATCTTTTCTAGAAAAGGGTTGTTTCATGATGTAACTCAAATTGTATTTAAGATTTTAAATATCCATATTACTATGTTTGAAAAGTGTTTTATCTTTCTTAATAAGGTAACACAGAGGAACATAGAAGTTCTACATGCAGGAGAAAAAGAGGAGATAACTAAGATCACGACTGCTCTAGCAAAGGAAGACCAGAGGTGTTTACGATTGGGGCACGTGGGAGAGTTCCACTACGTCAGTCTACGAGAGGTACCAGAGGGAGATGTCAGTGGGTACCTTAATTCAAAATTTCATTAATATGTATGAACGATATCTTTATGTAAAATAGGGATATATTTTATACAGCGTGCTTGGTCTTTTAGAGCCATTAGTCTCTGTCTCAGCATTTTTATCGTTCCTTAATAATCCTTATTCGTACGTTTGCAATTTAGTTTGCTGATTTTATATGACATCTTTAAAATTAGAAACAAATATGTAAAAAATATAAATGTAATTTTTTTTTTTCATAAATGATTATTTTCGTAGGTCAATTTTCAAGTGAAGAGGAAGAGGAGTCGCTATATAGCTTGCCTCTGAACAGTTTATCGATATTTGAAGGTAAATACAATTAAATATGAATTCACAATGTAACATTTATTTTTATAAATCCGATTTTATTGATTCCTTTACTCTTGAAATAATTGTTTCCATGTCACAATATACGATTTTTTAAAATATGGTTTTGGAGTACAAATACATCTTTAAACATCACTGCTTGAGGAATCAAAATCCTTTCATTTTGAGCTTTTTTCTCACGAAAATTAAATTTCATATATAATTAGTTTCTGTCTTCAAATTAATGCTTTTTTTTCAGATACAAGAAAACGGGACATGTTTGTCGAGGATTATATTGATCCGTTTTGTGATATACCATCCCTTCATTTATCTTTTCTGCTGAAAAACATGTTCCCCATTAATATGGTTCTGAATGAATCTGACAATTTCAAGCATACAGCCATGTCAATGGAATACAAAAATAACAGCCACGGGATGCCCGACGACTTAGAAGGAACTGGACATACAGTAGAAAATGAAGCAAAATTTCCATCGTGGAAGGCCATTGGAGAAATAATTAACGGGCTGCATATTGACAATATTTTTAGGAAGTGGAAACCCAAAGGTACTGGACAGTCAAAAAATGACTTGTTATATGTTCCAATGTTATACGTTTATAGTCACATAACTACACATAGAACAGCAGAACATTTACATGACAATGTCAGAGGATCCTGTCCAGTGATTGTAAAAACTGATGAAACGCACCCAGGATATGCATACCTTATGACGTACTATCCGAGGAGCTGGAGTAAAGAAGATTGCAGTGAAGGTCCCGTTTACGTGCCCAACCACCATTCCGTTTTCATTCCCCCTGCCAATCCAAAATCTGAAGAAGCAAAGGACAAAGTGTCTTCCACTTATCCAACGTTTTCGTTGTATTCCAAATTAGTACCGTCACTTCACTCCGAGTGGCCAAAGGAAGCTCAAGAGTGGATTACAAGAAAAAGACCATCAAATTGGCCACCTGCTAATATCATCAGCACTATACAGGGAGAGGGGTGCCATCTTGTCAGTAAGGCACATCCTAATAGTTCAAACTCTGACATTGAGTTTAAGTTTTGCTTTGGTGTTGCAGAAAGGACACTCTGTAATGAGGCACTTAGTAGAGATCAAAGGTAATTATAGAATTTTTTTGGCTACAGTGCAAAATCGCCAGTATAAAGTCACATATGATCTGAATCCGAAACCTTTTTTTCTGTTGTAGATATTGTCTGACGGTGTTCCTGGAACTCTGCATCTTTGGACTAGAAGGGTGCACTGCAATTACCAAAAACCACTTAAAGAGAGTATTTTTCTATGCTTGTGAAGAACTGCCTGTCGATTGTTGGGCGTCTAACATGGGTTCTTGTTTGTTTTATCTTCTTGAGTCTCTTATTTCTCAAATTGAGCAGAAGAATATTCCATGTTATTTTATTCGTCAGAACAATACAATTGATCACTTAAGTGAAGAACAAATAAATGAAGCTCGAGAAAAAATCGGTTTGCTACGGGGGAGTCCACTGCAGTATTTGTTGAACTTATCTAAAGACAGCGACTATGGACTGGAAGTCCAGCAAATGATAATGGAGGACATGGCACAATTCAAACTTACTCACAATGTCAGAGAAAGCGTTTTGAATTGTTTTATTCCATATGCAATTAAATTGGCACGGTCATATATACTACGGAGACGCTTCAAGACAGCGATGGACACATTACAGACCGCTTACGAGGATAGATTAACTGTAGCAACTTGTGACGATCAGGTGCCTTTTCAGTCGATCTTCAGTGAAGCTGTCCAAGGAATTCCATTTGATAGCCAATGGTGGTTCCTTCTGTACTCAGATGAAAAACTAGGAATGACCATGTCATCAGATCTGAGTTTAAATCAACAACCAGTTACTCTTGGAGAGCTAGTGGGCCCCTCCATTGCTAAAGACTATGCTAATCATCTCATACCACAGCACATGGCTTACGAAAGATGCCAGTTGTACACAAACTTTGCATGGTTTCTGCTCTCAAAATACAGAACGCAACAAGCAGTTGAGTATCTCTCACTATGCATCACAACATACAAAGACAAACTTGACTTAGAGAGTAATCCTAGTTGCCCACCAGAGAGTCTGGAACAATACCACGACTTCAATGAAAGAACAATGTACAAGGTTTTGGTTTACCTTTATCAAGCTCTTTATAGACAAAAGCAAGAGCATACTTTTGTTCACTACTTTGACGTTGTAAGCAAAGTGTGTGAGAGGTTAGACTGTCGTGAGGCATACAGCAAAGCATATTACATGGCACAACAGCTGGACGAGCGATGGGCAAACATCTGGGCTGAGAAGTGCCGCGTCTGCCAGAGGTCCGATCCCAGCATAGACTATGATCTTTTTGTTGATACAATCCAAAATCCAGATTTTTAGGTGCAAACTGTCTGGTCTGAACATTGAAATCTTGCAATGTCTTGAATAATGCAATGACTACATATGACACCGTATCTTCAGTTTCCAAACTGGAAGAACACGTTTTTATAGAGTACAATGAATTTTTTCATTGGTGCAAATACAAAGATTTACATTCCTCTGCTGATTTTGTTTTAACTTCACAACTGATCACAGAGCGGGGTTTTACATCCCAAACAATAAACAGTCTTAGGTCACAGTACAATGCACTTTGTTTTCATAGAAAATCTTTGTCATGTTATTGACTTGATGTCTCTTCCTTTTCAAATTCTAGATTTAACCTAAAAGTAGTTTTTGAAACTTTTAGTCTTTCCAAAACTCTCAGTAAAAAAATTTCATTTTTTATGTAATATAACCTGAATGTCTTTCGACTAGGAGGTCAAAACAAAATGATTGCTGACTATTTTCATGTCTGCCAAGACAACTGACATGCTTACAAAAGATCATTGATACTGGGCAGTATGTCATACAGAGGAAACACTAGATATACGGAAAGGGACGGGAATGGGGGCCTTTAAGAAAGAGTCAATAATATTGTTTCAAACTCTATTTCAGAACCACTGTCTTAAAGATTTTATTTGGAAAATATGTACGAGCTAAGATACCCATTTTAAGATAAAATCGACTTGAAGGCTCCGAGGAATTACTATAGTAAACTTGAATAAATAAGATCATTTTATAGCTTTGAAAGCCCATGGCCAAGTATTACTAGTAAATTGTTTGAAATTGTATGTACGAGGGGTGATCAAAAAGTTCGGAAACTAATTGAATAACTTCCATACAAGAAACAATATTTGGTTTTAATGTTGATTATATTTTAAATTAATCATCCCCGATTTTAATGCACATCAACCACCGTTCTGCGCATGCGCGAATCACGTGATATTGGCGGTCACGTGACCCCCTCCGTAGCGTTCTGTCACAAAAGTTGAAAGATTTTTCCGAGTTTTATATTTCTTTCTATGTGAGTTAATTTTTATGACAAGAAGAGTTCATTTGTCAGAAATGGTCATATCTCGGCAACAGAATGGGTGGATAATAATATCCTTTCCAAAAATAAGCATGGCGACCATTAAAACACAAATCTTCTGTCTCAGGAGAGACCTTTATTCAAGGTGGATAGAGAATGGGTGCATCCTTTTTATCATATCTAATATGTTTAAAATCTAAAGTAAACGATATCTTAGGTATATAATACTTATATCATTGTTCAAATATTCAACTATTTTTCATAGTGCTAATTGGAGGTCTTTGATAGCAAATTGCTTAATTAAAAATACATATCTTTTCAAACTTGCTTTCACTGGGCAAGATGACAAGTATCATATTTAACCATCAGCCTTCCTTCACTAAAACGATTAATCCAATCATTAATTGAATTTATAGGAACTCATTTATCTCAATAAACTGTGTACAAATTATTATATGATACTGTAGAGGGATTTCTAAGATATACAATAAATTGTACAGTCGTTTGTTGAACGAGTTCGACTAAGACAACCATTTTTCGTCACAAGTGACCTAAATAGTGACGTCATTTTCACATTGTGACGTCACAAACGAGGAGAAAACCTTTATTCAGGATATGCTATTTAAAGAACTTGTGCATGGCTATGTGTGTACCGAATTTCATTCCAATCTGAATTGTGGTTTTGTAGATATAGAGATAGTTTGCGAACTTTTTGATCACCCCTCGTATGATACCTGTTTCCAGTACTTCAAGTGTTTGGACTTTTTATTGACTAAGCACAAAAAAATCAGAGCATTTAATTATTCCACGTCACCAGGTACTCTAACGACTTTCTGGTCGCCTAAATGCACATGTATGATTGGAGTCACCTGAAGAACAGAGAGACACTTTAGGGGTTGTTGCAACCACTATTGAAATACGACCACTTTTGAAATAATTATTTCAACAATGGTTGATTGTGCATTTCAATAACGAACATTGGTTGCAACCACTATTGAAAAACGACCTCTATTGAAATAATTATTTAAACAGTGATTGAAAGTGTATTTCAATAACGAACATTGGTTGCAACCGCTATTGAAATAATGTTCACTTTAAAATAAAGATTCAAAGATGCAAAGATTTCAAAAGTGATTAAAATATAGATTTCAAAACTGATTGAAATCTTGATTTCAATAGTGCATTAAACAATGATTCCACAAGATATTAAAATAATTATTTTTATCGTTGCTGACAATGATTTCAATACCAACTAATGTTTTTATTTAAGTTTTCCTTTTTTGCAGAAATTTCCATTAATGCACAGACACTTTTTATTAAACTAACCTACCTATAATTCAAACATGTATGCAAATGTTATGAGCAAGCCCCTGTTGAATCTGGCCGAATCGGCGAAAACCAACAGACAATCAATTAATAATAGCCAATTTTGAAATAATTTTGTTAAATATCCGGCGTCTGTCCACATCTATCAGGTCTTGTATCTCGGCCTTGTAAACAGCATGAAAAGTGTTGGCATTTGGTATTTTGGTCATGTATTGCTTGGTACTATGGCTTTTGTAAAAGAGACAGTCATGGTTACAGAACTCGTGACATTTCAACTTGAACTTAAACATACTTTTCAAAATATTTTGAATTACCGAAATGCAGCGTATTTTGTTAATTTTAGAGGCAAGTCTGTGCTATTTAGCATCTGCACTAATTGGCATAATACAGTGTACATGACAAAATACGAGCTTTACATTTCCCTTGGCCTCCCTTGGCCTGCACCTACTTTTAAAAATACTACAAACGATTAATCAATTTCAGGTTGATTGATTGATTGTTTGTTGTTTTACATCTCATTCGAGAATTTTTCACCCGTGTAGATACGTCACCCTATACTGGTGAAGGGCTTCAAAATTTGACCTTTGCTCGGCACTCAGGGCTATGGAGCAGTGAGGGATCTTTATCGTACCAACGCCTGCCATGACATGGGACCTCGATTTTTCAGATCTAATCCGAAGGATCCGCAACTTTCACTTCAAGTGCCGAATGCATGGCGAAGGAACAGTTGCTTCCCTTTTTTATCAACATAGGTCAGTCGCGGCCGAGATTCTAACTCATAATAGTTTATAACGTTAGTTTATATAAATAAAATACTATTTTCTTTTATTTCGAATACATGTACTTTCTTTTTTCATTAATTTTAGCTTTCAAGGTTGGGGAACTGGTGAGCAAAAGACACAAGTTACTCAAAACACTTTAGTTTTTTTTTTATTAGTTTCACATAAATTTACTAAACTTTGAAGTATATGAAATGGGCTTTTCCGTAGCCAACTATTCTTAAATTGGATTTTTTATATATATATATATTCACCATCTAAAGATGAAATTAACATCAGAACAAAAAGGAAATCGATATTTTGATACTTTAAAGGACCAGACCCAAGACATTTACTAAGTAGTTCTGAATGCAATGCAATGAGTGCTTGTGGAATTGGGGAAAATTGTTAAAAGGGGGTAAACCAGGTCTGTATTGGAGGTTGAAGATGTGGCATTGAATAATATAACTAATGCCAAACCTCCAAGTGCGTATGCCGAAAAAATCATTCATAAAAACGTGAGAACCTTTAGTTTATTTGAATACAGGACAAGGGATTGCCCTTACAACCCAAGGCTCCTTTAGGATATCAGAATTTTTCATTTGATTTAAAATGATATCGCTTTATACCCCAATAGGTAATGTTTGCCATTCAAATTATGTACGAGATAACAATTGCTACAAAGTTAAGACAAAACGTGGTACATACATTTACTCTTTACAAGAAGTACCGGGTATCAGTCTTACTGTACATAAATAGATGTACAGATATTCAGTCTTACTGTACATAAATAATTATAACACAGAGAATGTATCAGTAAATATAGCAAAACTGACTGCTAGTATAATTTTTATTACTTTCAACTCATCTAGTTGAGTTAAAAATACTACTAGACAGATGTAAATGAAATGGAAAGTAATGAAATAGGTGTATATTTTTAATAAATTTATTTTTAAAAATGGACAAATTTCAGTTTAAAGAGCAAGAGCCATCTTATGCATAAAATGGCCCTGTACTTATATCAATTAATTAATTATCACCCTCTTTCCCATTTCATATATTAAAATAAAGTAGACACTTTGTGCTTTCATTTTCTTTAATAAAATTTCGTTTTGAGAATCCGCATATTGGAAAACAGGCTTTGAGATATTGCAATGTTCTTGAAATTTGCATAAAACATGCGTATTTAACTACCTTCAGCAAAGAATTAAAATATGAGCACACCCCACAATCCAAAAAATAAAACATGTTTTTTGATCTTCAGAAACAGATCTTTCATTATGTATTTGCATATTTTGGATCAGAGGTTGTGCTCTTTATGAAATATTGAAAAAATGCTTCAAGTTTAGGTCATTTTTAAAGGAATTACAGGAAATGAGGAAAATGATGCATTGTATGACGTCATAATGCATTGACAAGATGTAAAATTACGTCATGGTTAATAGATACGTGGTCACCAACACTCCAAGTGATAAATACTGCATTTGCAACCTAAACTAAGCCGTTTTGATTTTTCAGAAATTCTCAGGGCCAAATAAGGACCAAAGTGGCTCTTGCTCTTTTCCATCCAAAGTTTCACTATTATGCAGTGATATTACTTTTACATATTTTTAGTGTGTATAAAAGAAAAACAAATCCATGTTTTTCCTTATATGGATAAAACCTTACTGCTCAAATTTATATAATTTATAACATTTCTATAATTATTGATAAAATATCACAATATCCTTCAAATTCAGTTGAATTAATTAAATAGCAACAAGGAAAAAATAAACTCCTTTGTCAAATTGCCCCATTGCCCATCATGTATACCATTCTCAAGAAAAATACATACAAAATTTACTATGTGCCATGTACAAACTTTAAAGCAGTTGACCTCTGGTCAATAGATAAATATACATGTAATTTGATGGGTGAACTGATTCCATCATTCTGACCCCTCCTCAGAATCTCCAAAACGTCTTGTCACTTTATTTGTGTAAGTGGAACTGAGATTTGACTGCTTTCATATTTTGTGTGTATAGTTGTAATTTCTTGCAAAATTTTAATGCAAACTTTCAAGACACAAACTCATACTCTTTCTTAACCAAAAAAACATATACATATACACTGTACACACAAATACACTTGCATATCCATTTACACACAGGCAAAAAAAAATTACTTTGATTTTCATCATCAAAATAAATAAATTTTAACCTGTCCATAGACAAAATGTATCCAATAACCAACCAAGAAAATAAAAAAAAAAAAATTATGAAAGACACTGAGTGGTGTGATTCTGTAGGCTGCTTAGGGAACTACCTCGGGGGATTTCCTCCTACTTTTACCCCAGACTTTGTTGTAGTTTGACTCCATGTTTGATTGTCGAACCTCTTCCTCTGCTGCCTCATGGTCCCCGCCCTAAAGTAACACAATTTTTTTAAAATCATGATTTGATGATCAAAGGAATCTAAAATTTTTGTTTAAATTCAACTTTTGAATACTTTCATCAGAAAACAATAGAACAGTTTTGTCTGGTTTTAAGAATCGACATTCCCAAAACTTGAAATCTTTTTTAGAAATCAAATACAGACTATTTTTGTGTTTTATATGAAATTACTTAGCCATAATTATGCATTGAGTTTATCAGTAGACTAAATTTGCCAAACATAAGGAGAATCTATAATAAGTCTGATATAATATTTCTGTAATTACCAGAATGGAGACAATCATATTTTTAAATGCACTGGTATCCTCTGCAGACAGTAGATGAACATCGTCTTTATCATCAACATAACCAGCAGTAATTATCTTCACCTGAATCTTTCCATCTACACAAATCAAAAAAAATTTAATTTCTGAACTGTCGTTAACTTATTTATGAACAATACTGAGGAAAGTCTTTCATCAATTATATTTTTGCATAAATATAAACAGATCTAACTACTTTGGCCATCTTTGCTAGCCAAGGGTTTCTCATCCAGGTGCAAATTTATATTTCCTATTTAGTTTCCCAATTGAAATTTTTTGCACATTAGCTAAATTATGAATGACACCATAGCTATTTATTAAAGTATGGCATGTTATCCTATGAATCCTTGAAAAAAAATCATGACTTCTGACGGCACCATAGGCCATACGAGTAGCAGATCATACATCCTTTGCTAGTTATGATGTACTCTGGCTAGATAAATAATTGTGAACAAAAGGGGGTAGAGTAAAACTTGTTTCGTACAAACACAGACATGGATATTGCGAATTCACGGATACAGCGAAGTTATCTTGGATCCCCAGCTATATAAATTTCACGAATTCCTTATACATATATGACGAATTATGGATATAGCAAAGGAATTTCATTGGTCCCAGTGACTTCGTTATAACTGAGTTTTACTATATTACAGATAAAATCAGAACAAGCCTTACTTCCTAGATCTAGCCCCGCCTTCTGTAGCTGGTCCTGTACATCTTCCTCCAGCTTCTGGGTCTGGGGAGTACTTTTCATAGCACTCTTCTGAAATTCTCCCTTTGTTAATTTTGTAACTCTTATCTTCACACGATCCTTTGATGATGATTTGGATGATGATTGTGATAATGATGAAGATGATGACAAAGAGGATGAAGATGATTTAGATGACGATGAAGACTTGTCATCTGATGAAAGCTCTTCTGTTTTTGATGGACCTGAAAAAAAAATCTTCATTTAAATTCCATTCCATTCACACTTTTATACGTATTATCCAGTTAAAAAAAAATTACTTTTTAGTCTTATTTTGAATTGAAGTTTTATATTCTTCATTAAAATATAGGTATGTACTCATATTCTGCTTGCCTTTTGCTATTTCATCTAATTCCTTGTCTAATTTTTGTTGAAGTTTAGCATTTTTTTCTGATATCCTCTCAAGCTCTTTGTCAACATTTAGAATGTCTGAAAAAAGAATACAATGTAAAATATGCATGTTACTATTTTTTTCACAAAATTTTCTTGTCATTTTTCCAATTTTTTGCAAATTTTTCCACATAAATGAATTTTAATCAAATGTGCCTGCATCACTTTTGGCACAGATAATTATATCTTGTTTGCAGTATACAACGTAGACATTATCACTGGCAGGAATTATATTCAAGCCTTCTTTATTTATTCGTGCATAGGGTTACAACAACAAAATAATTGTCTGTAACCAGATGAACAAGAAGGGGTACCACAAAATAAAATAAATATGGTAATAAAGCAAAATAAAGGTACATGATCAATCCTTTTTAGCTCACCTTTCTCTGTTTTGTCCAGCCTTTCTATGAGTTTATTTAAAGTCTTACTCAGCTCTTTCTGGGCTCCTTTTCTGTCCTCTAATTCTATACCTGTCTCTTCTTCAGCCTACAAGAATTTTTACTCATACGGATACATTCTCCAAATTATCAATTTTTTTCAACTTTCTTTTATAAAATGTCTATTCTGTATCTATCTAAATTCCTGAAATGACTTATTTTCATCAATCTTTAAAAAAAATCAGTATATTTTCTTTTTTCAGCACAAACAATCTTTCTTAACAATCATAACCCATAACAAGGGAAATAAATTCATTTTCTACAAACCTCTTCAATAATCTCATCAAATTCACTCTCCATGGTTTTCCTGAGAGATTCCTTAATGCTGGCCAAGTTATTCCTATTTTTAGTAAATTTCTCTCGCACACTGTTGATATCATCATCTTGGATCTCTAAAAAATAAATACAAAACATTCAGGATGCAAATACAATAGAACAGGAAACAAACTCTATAACACTGATGATCTTCATATCCTACACTTTCAGTAGAATTAGAGTAAGATGAATGCTCCACCAACTTCCTTAAATAAGTTGTTTCTAAAATTGAATGAATTTATACATTTATGCAGATAATTAAAGATGAACAAATTTCCTACATTAACATGTACAGAGAACTGAAGACTCTAACCTTTGAAAGACTGAAGAACTTTTTCATCCACCCCATCTAGTTCTTTGTCTATATCACTAACTGTGTCTTGAATCTTTTCTGTAATAGACTTTCTGAAAAGATTAAGTATAGGAATCAGAATATATATAATCAGATAATAAAAGGATAACAAAAAACAAATACATTCATTCTGGCCTCAAGACCATAAACTGAGAACAGACTTAAGTCTAAATTTAAGACCAGTATAAGTTTTAAGATAACTTTGTTAACGAAACAAAATTTACTTCATGTATTTGAATTTAAATTTTACAGAGATTTGCAAATTTTCGAGCAAAAATGTCAAGCAAAACTCAAGATATTAAAAATCAAAATTTTGACTTGTCTATTCTTAGTTTATGGTCTTGGGGCCTGATCCCAATTTCTTCTTTTGGGAGGAGGGGAACGAAAAATGTATTTAATTAAAGATATCACATACAATACTTGTCTTTAAATTTTTCTATGATATTCCCAAAAGACATGCTATTTCTCACCTGGAAATTCAATAAACAAAAGCTCTTACTTCTCAAATTTCAGTGTGGAATCTTTCTGTTTATTAGCCCCCTCTGGACTTGATTCTTCTTCAGTTGATTCCTCTTCCTCCGTCTTCTTCTTCTTCACCAAGCTCTCTACCTCAGATTGAGCCTCCTTCAACATATCCTCCAAGTCATCCATGTTTCTCACTACTTTCACTTTCATTTTCATATCTACATCTTGCCCTGTATTCATTAGATAAAAAGTTATTCAAATTTTTTTTATGCTAGCATCATATAGTTTTCAGAATCTACAGTAAAACTCGGTTATAACGAAGTCACTGGGACCTGTGAAATTACTTCGCTATATCCGTAATTCGTTATATCCGTATTAGGAATTAATAAAATGTTCATGGTGGGGGATCCAAGAAAACTTCGCTATATCCATAAATTCGCAATATCCGTGTTCGTACTAAATGAGTTTTACTGTATATAAATGTACATCCATTAAATACATGTTAAGCAAAATAAAGACAGAGATATGTGTAAACAAAAAATTAATCAACAGATGGGGAAATTTTTACTACCTCCAAACTGATCCGAGAGTTTAACGATGTCATCCTTCAGTCCAGATGATATAAGTTTTTCAATCTTAGACATGTCAGCACCTAAATCTGACACATCCTTGAATTCAAATGAGCGACTATTGTCAGTTTTCTTAATAGAGTTGGGGAGTGGCAAATCTTTTTGAACTTTGGAATCCATAATTTTTTCATCTGAATTGAATAAAGCATCTGCATCTCTTAATTCTACAAAACATAAATGACAAATGCATTATTTTCAAGTCTTGATATTTGAAATATTAAGCTTCCTCAATAAAAGGTGTTAAAATATTTTCACATACTGGTGCTTGTCCCTATGATAATAATTTTTTCAAATTAACTGACTTGCTTCATAAAATAAGTAGCTTTCAAATAAAAATAAACAAGAGATGTTTGTAAAACACTTATGCCCACCTTTCCCCACATTGGATTTTTTTCTAAGTCCAAAAGGGCATAACTCTGTCTAAAATGGTTCAATCCTACCAAAACAAATTCAGCTGAAAAATCTGTATACTAAATTTCATTTTAATATTTGCAACCTCTGCAAAGAAAATGAACGGAAACTGCAAATAAGTGGAATTTTTCTAAGTCCAAGGGGCATAATTTTGTCTAAAATGGTGTGATTGTACCCAAAACAGAACTTGACCCAGATATTCACCTGATAAACCTGTATACCAAATTTCATTTCAGTATGTGCAACGGTTGTGAAGAAAATGAACAGAAACTAAATAGATCGACAGACCGACAGACAGCAGCAAAGCATTATGCCCTCCCTTCTTCGAAGGGGGGCATAAATATATAACAATCCCTTTAGAATATCAGTCTCACCTTTTTCTATTCTCTGTTCTTCTTCCAGCTTCTCTTTCATTATTCTTTTTTCTAAAAACAATTGAAAAGAATCTCACTATGTTTCCATATTTTATAATCTACATAAGTCTATCAATCCCTTTTCGACTGAACTACAATAGATATACATAGTTCTACCATTATATGGTTCGGACATCATACAGACAATCACCAGTACATTACCTTCCTCCTCCTTGAGGTAGTCCTGATAGATCTCCTCTGACACGGCGGGGTGACAGGTGATGGGGACAGGTTTCTGGTGGGTGGGGAGTTTGAGATAGGGGTGATGACATATTTTGGTGGTGTGAATAGTCATTACATAGGAACACGTCTCTGGCTCGTCCAGCCTGGCTATGTAATCACCTCTACCCTCCTCACAAAGGAACTGAATATATTAAAAGCAAATGTTTATATGTATCATGCATATAAATATGAGACTGATAAAATTAATAAAATTGCTGGTGCATCAATGAAGTACTTTAAGATAAATGAGATACTGATTTTTCAAGTGGAAACATTGAGTACTATGCAAATTTAAACTAATCAAAATTAATACATTCAAGACAAAGAAAACTTGATAGATTTTTACAATAAACATTAGCATAAGTAAAATGAAAAAAAAAAGAAATGTTTTGATACAAACCCTGACTTCTGTTTTTCTGGCTTTTCCTGTAAGGTCACATTTTGAGCCATTGATGTACTGCTGGCTGTGATATCGATTCAATCGATTTTTATTTCTTGATTTGATTTCCTTTGGTAAAAATAAAAAAAATTACAATGTATGCACATAAACATATTAACTGTTCTTTTTTCTAAATATTAAGATTATTAGGACAACTGTATATCATACCATATTTGTTTCATTTCTCCAGTCAAACTCTGATTCATAATATCCCAACATGATCACATTTCCTTCAATTCTGCCATCTAGCAAAATAAATAAATAAATAAATAAATAAATGTAATTTCATGTTCATTTTTTAAACTTCAGACTAAAAAGTCCTAAAAAAAAGAATTCAAATTTGCCAGAAGAGATAGTAAAATTGTTTAACTAAACTTATTTAACAAATTGTGTCAAAGCTTTACCTTCCATATGAAACTGGCGGACATGTTTTCCATAACAAAACTCATAACTCCACCAATCTCTAGTCTGGAATATAAATTTAAATGTACATTTAATTATAGAAAAAAAATTAAAATACTACATCATTATTGCAAACAGCATATAAATTCATTTTGAAAATGGCTTTATTCAGTGTATACCTTAAAAAGACAAGGGCCTGACTCCATGGCTTTCAGTAACTCTGGGACCCCTGTCTCCATGGCTATTTTCTCCTCCTCTTCCTTTTGTTTCTCTGCTTCCATCTGACTTGGGATAGTACAGCGATACACCTGACCATGCTTTGATGTAACATCAATGGTTTCACTGAGTTTATCTGTATCCTACCAATTTTAACAGTTAGGTACAGTTTAATGATAATTTACAATCTCAAGTATGACACACCAGGTCTTATCTGCTCTGTTCTCTACCCCCTATATAAAAATACATAGATAGAATGTTCTATCACTAAAATGATATTGTCCTACAGACCCATATTTTAAGATAGACTTCATTCTGTGTATTCTAAATGTAGCAAAATAAACACGGGCGATAACTCGTACTCAGTGCATTTACTATGAACAATCCAAAGAGTTCTGAATGTAAACATGGCAGATAAATTTAAAGCAAGAAAAACCGTTGAGAAAATTAGTTGAATTTTCCTCTTTTTATGGATTATTTTTTGGGATAAAAGGCATATACAATCCCAAAAAGGTTTGCTTTGATTAATTTGGTAGTTATTTTCAGTGCAACCCTTTTTGTATTCTTCAAAATCGTTTTGGAGCGGATCCGCTCCGATTTGCTAAATTGCAAGTATATGGGACATATTCTAACTGTGGTGAAGGCTTGTTCTGAGACATAATTAGATTATTCTGACTAAAAAATACACAGTGTACTTTAATATGGAGAGTAGATAACAGAGCGGATATGATGCCCCTGCGAACAGAGCAAAGAAGATGTCCTAACTATATAAATCACTAACTTTATATTGTTGCATGAACTCATTTCATATTAACAGGGCCAAACAGTTATAAATCACATTTACAATCTAGACTAAATGCTAACATGTCATCCTCAAGTATTAACAAACTGATTAAGTAATGTTAAGAACACAGCAGAAACTTAAGTAGTCAGAAAATGTTACATATACCTGTACGACTGAGATAATTCGAAATGTTTACAGATAGAAACCATACGGTAGAAACTTATGCACAAAAACATACCTGTGTTGACAATAAAACGGGTTTATTTAGTATATCTATGCCATAATTTATATTTTTTAGCTCTTCCATGTCCAAAAAACTTGCCACGGTCTTGCATAATAATAAAAATGAGAAAATTATCAGTCCTGCTTGTTTTGATTCCATTTTCATTGCGCAAGCGCACTCTCATCTGTCAAATCATCAAAAACATTTTCCGGTGTAAAATTTTACATTCGAACGCACCCGAGAAAGTATAGAAATCTAGGCCTAGTCGGTTTATTTTTATTTTTTTATTTTTATTTTTGTTTTCATGAGAATCATCTGAAGGGAACTAAAGTGCCTTCTCGTTTTCTTAAATTCATATTAATTAATGTTTTATTTATTTATTTATTTAGGCCTATTTATTTATTCATTGTTATTTGCCCCCTTTATGATAAATTTAAATACAAATTGGGGGTCCAAGTGTAAAAGTTTAGAGTGAGACATTTAAAAAAAATATTTTGAAAAACTTAAATTGCATGCGTTTAAAGAAGTGGAGTGTGGCAACATAATTTTCCGTTTATCACCAAAGTGAACTATCCTGATTAGTTACAATTTCATGAAAAGGTTGAAATGGTTCGCCGAAAAACATGTCTCGCCCACAGGCACCTGACGTTACTTATTTTTCTTTTAATAAAAAAAATATACACATACCGAATAATAAATTTATTATTCGGTATGTGTATATTTTTTTTATTAAAAGAAAAATAAGTAACGTCAGGTGCCTGTGGTCTCGCCCTACGAAGTCAAGGATGGGCAACGCACTTTGAAAAATTACGCAATTTGAAAAAAAAAATCAAAGTGCGTTAAAATTGAGACAAACACAACGCACTTTCAACGAAAACATTCAAAGTAAATTAATAAGAGTGTATATCAATATTAGAATTACGATGGATGAAAAAAAATGTGTTTAAAAAATATGGAATTAAATTTTGAGAGCATTTTAAAATTATTTGTTTTAAATCTTCCGAAAATCTAATGAATTGATCTATCTACCCTCATCGAGAACGACGAGTAGGTCTTTCAGTCCAACTCTTTATCTTTCATATGTAGGCGTCGATGGCAAAATGAAAGGGATGCTGGTAATTAGCTGCAGATCTGTAGCGTTATGGTTTTATATATTTGTCTTTTGCCATAACATCTGTAGCATTATGGCTTTACATATTTGTCTTTGCCATAACGCTACAGATCCCGTAATGCAAAAAAGGTGCAATTTACGGCGCAACATTTTTTGCGCACTTTTGGGGAGAATTCCTCCACTTTCCAGCATCGGTCAATTAACTACCTTTCACTACCTAATTCTAGGCACATTATTTAACTAATCTGTATATTTTATCCATCTCCCGGCTCTTTATAATCGTCTCTACAAGTGATAAATTCGCTTGATTAAAATAATAAAATTATTTGTTAGATTGCTGTAAATTCACTTTAAACGAGTTTATTGCCTGTAGAGACAACTAAAAAAGGTTAGGAGGTGGATAAAATATACATATTGGCTAAAGAATGTGCGTAGAATAAGGGAGTGAAAGGTAGTTAATTGACCGATGGTGGAGAAAATCTTAAAAGTGCGCAAAAAATATTGCACCGTAAATTGCACCTTTTTTGTATTACGGGATCTGTAGCGTTATGGACAAAGACAAATACAGTACATAAAACCATAACGCTACAGATCTGCAGCTAGGGTTATTGAAGGTGGAAGGGGGGAGCTAAATAAAAAAAAATGCAAGCCCCAATTTTTATTGCCTATATTAAGTATTTACATAACTGATACATGTATGATGTTGAAAACTTTCAATAAGTTTGCCCTAACGTAAAATACAGGAAAACTAGAAAATGTTCAGTACAACAAAACGTATTCGAGGGAGAGAATTTATACTATGGAAAAAATCAAAACTGCTCCCTTTTTCTTTAAAAGAAATGCAGTAATGTAAATTAGATAATACCTCGGGCACGATATTTTTGGATAGAGAGTCAATTTTTCGTTATTTTTGATTTGGATTTTTTTCAAATACAGTACATTGTAAATGTGTTCCAGAAGATAAATTTATGAGAAAGATGAATAAAAATGTCCTTAGACCCGGGATGTATACTCTCGGGGAAGGGGGGGGGGGGGGGCTGTCCACAAGCACCTGTGTGAAACACAACTCAGTTTTATTTGCCATTCTATAAGAAAAAGGGAAACTAATCAGTATCAAAATATCACATAGCAGAAGAATGTGCGGACTTGATATTCAGTATGTCAGCATATTGTAACTTACGATGTTTTCACCCCCCTTTCCCCATAAAGAAAACTCATTCAATTCTAGAATAAACTCAGTATTAATGAACTACCAGTACAATGATTATCTGAATTACACGGGATTTCAAAGGATTTTTCATTCCATAAATTAAATATACATATTCTTTTACAAAATATGACAGATATTCTATTAAAGATTGAAACCTTCAAAAGAAAGCTGTCAATATTTTAATAATAATCAAAAACTTTTGTTGTCATTTGAGAGTCCGGGTTCCAAAAAACTATAATTCTGATCAGAACAAACTTTGCAAGATAAAATATATGATTATGCCCCGTAATCAGAGATTCATGGGTACATATGTAGTTCCTGTTTGTACATTCGTCTGTCTGCTTGTGCTCAGCCTTTGAATAAATGGGCTGGGGCAGGATTTTCATATTTCACATATGTAAACCAAACTTTAACTTTGGCTATAACTTTTAAACAGTTGTTGCAATACCTTTAAAATGTATTCATCAAAACTGCACCCTAGCCTCTCAAAGTATGACTAAGTTACATTACTAATACATGTACATTTGTACTGCCACCACTCAAGCTGTCACAAGCAAACTTAAAAACAATTATATATATATTATAGCACTTGACAGTATTCACAGATATAATACAATGAAGCAAAACGCCTTGAATTTTAGCTTTATTCATTGATATCTCACATGACTATGTATATATTGTACAGGTTTCCATTGTCAAGTTACAAATTACATTAAACATTGGAAATCTACTTCCTTGAACATGTTTGATTCTGGCACACATCTGTAAAATCATAAGCTGGATAAAACTTGCTGGTCTCTTGTAACACAGCTGTCAAGTCCAATCAAATTCATACATACATTTAAAAAATATATATTTACATCATTATACACAAACATTGTGGGAACAATGTGTTGCAAACTTGTAGCTGTTTTTCATTTACAACTGCCTGACAAACAAACTATGTCGACTGAAACAAACAGCTACAACATGTTGAAGGGATCCAATCACTGATTCAGAAGTACTTTGATCATCCCCTGTCACACTGTCAATGATGGAAATGTTGAGAACACATTATGGAATTTAGAGAGACTCAATCAGAAGTTTCAGTGTAATTATTCTTGTTCTTTGGTAAATGATTTGTTGAATATGATACCGATAGAAACTTTTTGCTTAAAGAAGTACTGTGTAATGGGTACAGGGTATGAGGTTTAAAAATTGTTAATCTGGTAAATGATTTCTTTGTGATACAGCTGTAGTGGTACTCGCATGGTGCAATGGGAATGATTATTTATGTGATAGTGGTACTTAAATGGTAAAATGGTACTGACTGCTCATGTGTTATTGTTGTTGTTCTTGTGTGGTAGTGGTACTTGTGTGGTAAATTGGTACTGATTGCTTGTTATGGTATTGTTGTGTTTATGTGTTAATGGTACTGGTGTGGTACATTTGTAAAGGTACTGATTGCTTGTATGTGGTAGTGGTACTTGTGTGGTAACTTTGTACTTTTTGCTATGGTATTGTTGTGTCTATGTGGTAGTACTGGTGGGCTTGTTATCATCATGTGACTTGTCCTCTGCTTTCATCTCCTCTTTGTCTTCCTTCTCTATGGTATCATACAAGTCGTGTTTCCAGGTGTCCAAATCTCGTGAACGTTTGTCTATAAATTTTATAAAAAGGATTAGAGTGAATAAGAAAAAATTGTTATCATTAGACAGAGCGCAATGTCTTTTGTCTATATCAATGATAATTTGTTACATTAAATGCCGATCTAGATTACATGTATACAATATGAAATCTGAAAATTTAAAGAGAAAAACTAATACAAGTAAAAGAGAGTAGAATCATATAAAACACGGTATCTTTATTTTACCTGACTTATAATGAAATCCATATTTTTTGTTGTAATTGTCATCTCCCTCTTCAGGATAGTCATGTGAACGTTTATCTGCAAGAAAAAATCAAAGGGACCATACAAAAGTACAATGTACAGTAAAACTCGGTTATAACGAAGTCACAGGGACCTATGAAATTACTTCGCTATATCCGTAATTCGTTATACCCGTATAAGAAATTCATTAAATTTATATAGCTGGGGATCCAAGATGACTTCGCTATATCCGTAAATTCGCTATATCCGTGTTCGTGCTAAACGAGTTTTGCTGTACGTATATTCTTCCAATACAGTCCTAATAAATTATCCAGTGAAGTATACTACAATGAATACATAACATTCTGAATCAAAAAATAATACATCATTGTGTAAATGAAAATATTCCATTATTTTAAACTTTATGAATGTTTTGACATAACTGAAAAACAATATTCAACATTTGATTTTTAAACTTTCAGAAATATATTGATTTGAAAGACAGAGAAATAATAGGAAACATAGTTTATGAACTAAATTAAATTTTTTTTTTGCAGTTTTATATTATTTCTAAATCTCAGATAATATCTAACTATTACATAAATTCAGAAAATTGGAAGATTCCCTCAGAAATTAAGAGAGTAAAATCACCAAGACTTGTACCTGATTTATAATAGGAATCATATTTTTTGACATAGTCATCATCCCCATCCTTATCAGAGGAGTAGTAATTAGAAGTGGGCCTGTAGTTACTGTTGTAGTTACTGTAGCCCCGCCCCCTGAATCTGCCCCTAAATCCTCGCCCTCTGTACCCTCCTCTGAACGGCCTCCGAAATCGTCCGCGGAATCCCCGAGAATTATTAAATCTTCCTCTTGAACTGGAATCACCTTCTCTGTTATCATGCTGAATTAAAAAATCAGAGTTAGTTTGTGAGATTCAGATTTTCAGTCTTATCAAACTTGCAATAAACAATACAAGAATTTTGTAAGATCCAGGGGGAAAAATTACAATGTAAAGCAGTTACTGTGTATTCATAACATTTCAAATCTATTCATTCAATTAATGTTTCCTAAATCATAGATGTTATACTTTTCATTCTGGCCCTTAAAGTCCTGGCGTCGGGCAATGCTGTCCAAAACCTTACTTACCTCAAAATACATTGGATTCTTGGGTATCATTTCTGGATTTTCCTTCCATGCTTCAAATTTGTATTTCCCTGAAATAATATCCAGGATGGAGATAAGTTTTGACAAAAACACAAATATAAGTAGACCCCCAAACTTGAAGAAATCAGCATCTCATCACCCAATTGAGGAAGACATAATAAGCCTTCCAAAAATAATTCTGAATATTTGACTAACCAGGTCTGTTTTTAAAATCTGGCAGTTCCTCAGAATCAGACTTCTTTCCTAACCTTTCATCTGCAATAACAGTGTACTGCTAAAACAATATCTGTACAATATCTCATGATATTCACCAATTGTGATTATGAAAAGAGAATAACCCCTTTTAACAATCATCCTTTGCCTTTTCCTTTTATGGACAATTACTGAATCATCCAATAAGTATTAAAAAATGGAATTTAGTGTTAATATTTATGCATAACTTCCTTTTTTACGAGCATATATATTACCCAGTGATCTCTTTCTATCTCTGTCTGAGTGCTCCCGTCCTGAGCCTTTCCTTCTGTCTTCTAACTTCCTCCTGCAATCAAAAAATGACACAATCAGAAACAAAGACTGCATGGTTACAAAGCTCACAACTGATCTTATGTTTATTTTCTTTTTTTACAATTGTGATTCAATTTATATGATTACTAAAATTCTTCAACTATAATTAATGTGCAACAGTCAAATCTGAATATACTGGATAATATGAGAGTCATCAATTCCTTCATAATTGTCTTTTTCTAAAGTAGTCTCAAACATTCACAAGACTGTGATCTACCTTGCATCAAAAGAGTCATCATCATCATGTTTCCGTTTCATCAAATTATGACGTAAATCATTCGGGTTAATGCTTTTACTGTCGTACCCTTCCGATTCCTGGAAAATTTTCTCATACCTGGGATCAGGCTTAGGATTTAATCTGTGTATGGACAAGGAATTGATCATGAGTTCATAAAAAAACAAAGTCAAACAATTATGCATGTTTTCCATGTTAGCCCATGCATCTACATATCCAGTTGCTAACCTGAATTCCCACACTACATTCAGTACACTTATTTACCTGACTTTGGGCTCTCTAGGTCGGTCTGCAGATCGCACTGTCCTCGTGTCCTCTCTGTTGTAATAATTACTTTGTTTTATTTCAAAATACATTTTTTGTATAAAAAAATTTTAATTTGCCAGAAGGTGAATTTCTAATTTGATTAAATGAGTATCAATAAAGGTGAAATTTCAACTTATACCTGTCAGGTGAGTACCTGCTACCAGAACGGTTGGATTTCTTGTGATCATCTGATGGAACGACACTTATAGTTCTCTTCTCATCATAAATTTGCTCATCTAAAATATTATCTAGGCCAAAAATCTTAATTTCCTCACGATCAAAAATAGGTTTCTTTCCTTCATCTCTTCTACGCAACATAACAAAACTATACATGTCAATATTTCTAACAACAGGCTTATTTGGAGTGTTGCGTAGATTAGGGCCAGTGCGATGGATCCCAATGGTGATGTTTTCATCAATTCTGACTGGCCCTACAAAGTCCGAGTCAATAGTTTCGAATCTCTCAGATAAAAGTGGCCTCCTGGAACTAGGGGGAGCCACCGTCACTGTTCCTATGACACCAGGGGGCAGTGCTGAATGAGTGTTGTCAGGTGACAGATCCCGATAGGATTTGAATCCTCCAACACCCAGGGAGGATGAAGGTTTACTGAAGGGGTCCTCAAGGGAAACAGGAAAGGTTGACGTCTCAGGGCGTCCCAGTGATGATAGTCCTACCTTAAAGGAATCTCTTCTCTTTTCATCCCTGCACAAAGACAACAATACATGTTATTAATTGTAAGAGAATATTTGTAAAACTTGATGCAGAAACCTCAACCTGACTATATATAGTTTAAATGTTGTAATTTCTTTTTAAATACTTGAAAATCAACCAATAAGAAATTGCTACAATACAAATTTTTCTTACATTATTTACATTTTATTTTCTCAAACAAAATATTACATGTGTACTAAGAGTCTAAATCATTCTAAAAATATGAATTTACATTAAAGACTTCTCCATTTCACTGCAGTATCATTTTATCAAATAATAATAAAACAACCATGCCACTTTACTTACAAACTTAGGGGTCGCAATCCCCTCCCTGATACTTCGGGGGACTTTCTCCTTGGTGACCGGGAACGAGACCTTTTCTTTGGCGATGGTGAACGAGATCTAGAATAACGATGGCCTGAATCTTTTCTGTATGGAGACCTGTCACGTTTTTCAAATGGAGACCTGTCACGTTTTTCATATGTAGGTTTTCTGTTGTTAAAAAAAAATTAAAACATGATATTATCATAAAATAAATATAACAACTTGAATAATTTCAACAAGTTCTAATAATCAAAAAGTGTCAAAATCATAATTTTAACATAGAAAAAGGAATTCTACAGTTCATTGAAAATCCCATTTGTTGAACAAAAATATATTGTAAGCATCACCTTCCATAAGGCACATTGTGTCCTCCTCCTCTACCTCTGCTAAATCCTGAGGATCTGTGTTTTGGAGAAAATTGTTTTTTCCCTCTGTACTTTGGGGAGAATGACCTTGACCTTCTTGGAGATCTTGATCCTCTAGGTGATCTTGACCTTTTCCTTCTGTCATAGCGTTTCTCCGGTGTCCTGCAAAGAGGATACAATGTCAGATACAATGTCATATTAGACTTAACAGATGTAAACAACTGACTAGTACTCAGTATGCGACAATTCCTAACTCTGAATTCTATGACATTTAGTGCATGTCAGCTTCAGATATAGGTAGATTAAGCTATTGATAGGTTTAAATACCTAGATAGCTATATTTAGCTATATAGGTGGATCTAGTGATTTTCCTGGACCTGTTACTCTTATCAGGATGTGCATTATTGAAATGAAAGTAGAACACTTTAATAAACTTTTAAATAAATTTTAAAATATCAAACACACATGCTATATTTATCTTCTAAAATGCAAATTGAAGACTTTTACATTTTATTACCACCTTATTATTACAAGTTTCTCCCTCTGTGGAACTTGAACTGAGGAAATTCGATATTATTGAGCATGAACATATTTTACCTTCTATAGCCTCTTCTCGGCGAATATGACTTTTCCCTTGGCATGCCTAATGTTCATATAAATACGGTGACTAAGTGATTTACCAAATGATGATTCGCAATATTTTCAAATAATGAAAATTCCAATTTCAGCTGAAATGGAAAGTAATGGAGGGGTAGTCGATACAAATTAACTCGTTCAATAGTAATTCTTACCTTCACTTAATATTCAAATATTCTCATTACTTTATCCCATTATTCTGGTAGAAGTATAGTAATATAAACATATACTTAAATAATCTATGTATATAATCAAATAAATAAAACATGCTAAATACGTAAATAATTTTAATTAAACGACGACTCATTTTTAGAACGACATAGCTGATAAAAGAAAAGATGGAGGGATTTTCAATTTCAGATAAATAATAAAATATTTATCATGATAAAATTTATGTAATATAGGTATTATTAATGAATTCTGGGTAATAAGAATTTTTTTTGATATGTCTATGTGTTATTGAAATAATTACTATGTATAATTTTCTTTATTTAATGTTAGATATGTAGGTATGGTATACACAAAATTAAACTTAAGCAGTTATGAGGTACAGTAGGCCTATCTATGGCACGCCAAATTCACAAAAAAGAGCTTAACATATATAGTTTCAAAGTCAATAAACTAGGTTCATCGGTTGTAAACTATAATTTACGGACTTTAAACTATAGTTAACAACATTAATCTCTTATTTTTAATAATCTGTAAACTATAGTTAACGTGATAATCTATATGTTTCAGAACCGTAAACTATACTTAACATTGAACATGTTGAAAACAATCATTTGCGATTGCAAAACATAGATTACCATTGGCATGCCACTGGTACAGTTTTTTGCACAATTTGTAATTTTTGTGGTTCACAGCTTTTAACTATAGTTAACGATCTGATAAATATAATTTCACGATTTGTGAAACAAAATCACATAAAAATCATATCAAACAGTTAAATTCACAATTTTAAAGTGTGTTTATAGACGTGAATCTATGTTTATCAACAAAATCTATTGTTAACGTTTTAATATGTTGACGGTGCGACCGTTAGAGCGAGCGCAAACTCTTCTATTGTTTTAATTTATGTGTCAACTTAGAAGACAAACCGCATCGTGACATTTGGTATTACCAACGTTTCCATTGGACGTCACATGACGTAACATTTGTAAGTTACAAATGCCAAGAAAAAACTGAACAGTGCTGAAAGTTAATGAAAAAAGTTACGTTTACAATTAATCTTCAATATGTATCCATTTAATCAAAGCAAACTTTTTGTTGCAAAACATTTGCTGTATCTGATAAAGAACGCAACTTTGCTAAGTGATGCACTTTTAACTATAGTTAACGCGGCAAAAAAATTTCAAGAATGAATGTGCAGTAGTCCGAATTTTCTCTTCGCCCAGGCATTGTAAATTATAGTTTCGCAGTTACGAGCGTCTATGTTTATCAACAAAATCTATTGTTAACGTTTTATTACAGACATGTAAACTTAGACTAGCATTCGTAAACTATAGTTAACAACCGTTAAATATAGTTTTACAGATGAAAACTATAGTTAACAAATTGTTAACTATAGTTCACGGTTTGTAAACTATAGTTTACAGTCGATAAACCTAGTTTATCAACTGTGAAACTATGTTTAGCTTATTTTTGTGAATTTTGTGTGCCATACCTATCAATGCTATCATGGTGCTATTCATGCAAGTGTAACAAGGAACATTTGTCTCTGGTGACATTGATGTAACACTGTGATCTAATGCATTGATTAACACGAGTGACGAATAAAAAATTTAGCTGTTTAGTAAACATGGAAGTAGACCAAATTTGTTTGATGCAAGAGTATACTTAAATTTAAGTCTCCAGAGTACAAATTCAACTAATTGACAAGAGATTTCCTCATGATATAACTTAGATAGAATGTTCTATTGTTAAAATGTTATTGTCTAACGGACCGGGTTGTCTCAAGACACAGTTAGATTATTCTAACAAGTATAACTAGATAACAAAGTTAAAATGGTGGTGATTATAAAATAGCCGAAAACATTTGATAATAGATGCATATCATCTGCATGTGAATTGTATGTCTCTCAGTTGATTCAATATGCAAGAACAAAATGCTATATCTGAAGGTAGGCAAGCTATTGACAAACATGTTGATGAGACAAGGATATCAATAGTCCCATTTGAAATAAATTTTGCAAGTTTTATAGTTGATACTACATTGTATATACAATGACCTTGTAAGCAAATGCAAAAATCACGTTAATTCACTCATGTAATATGACACAATTGTACCGTAAAATCTGCAATTTGTACTCCATTCTGCAAGTTCTTTGAAATTTTATCGTTAATTTTATTTGAAATGTCCAAACAATTGAGAGATTGTAGTGACATCAGAGAGGGGACGGGTTTCTTTTTCCAATATTCCATTAAGTTTTACCCCTTGAAAAAAACAGACATAGATCTAGGAAATATTTAAATGAACTACTAAGAAATAAATAAAATGCATTCAGAGACCTAGTTTTTAAAGGTCAAAAAAGATTGATAGGCTGGGTATTGGCCAGAGATTTCGTACTGCAATATATTGCGATATTTCAAAATGTATCATGTAATGAAAATAACATGGCATTTTCTTATTATTATTAACATTAATTTGCAGGTAGAATGTACATAACTATGAAAAGTAACCAAAAGGGAAAAAATCTTGTTGCTTTTATCAAAGTTCTGATCTAAAATATATCCATAAAACAGCTCCTGTCATACTTTTTGGCTTAATAACAAACCTTTCTTACATTTATTTTTATATTCAATGATAAAATTCCTTAGTCTTAGCATTTTGCCAATATATCAATATTTCTCATTATTCATAGTACATGTATTAACCTTTCCATGGATTTTAATATTTTTGATCTAGGTAACCTTTGGTATTGACCTTGACCTTTGAGTTTGACCCACTTTTGTTTTAAAGAAAACTTGAACCTTGGACATAACTTCTCAATCATAATAAATTTAAAATATTTAAAATTGATTATTTTTTTTAGGGTTGACATGTACCAATTATCCTGAAAGATGCCTCAAGAATTCCACGTCCTACAGTGCTACAGTTGTTCCACATTTCAAGTACATCAAGTGAAAAAGTCCAGTAACAAGTGGAACTGTAAACTTTGTGGAGAGAAGCAATCCATCAAGAAAGTAAGAGAGTCTATCTGGAGAGTATGGATATTTAGTATATCATCTGTAGATATAACCTTATAGAAAATCAAGTGTTCTATTGAAATCACTGGATCACACAACATACTGTAAAAGTCATAACCATTAAGGTTAATGCTACATTCATTTAGTACAAGCACAGATATTGCAAAGAACTTTATTCGGTAATAACCAATATTTGCCTCCCAAATCAAACTTTGATGGAGATATATTTAATTAAGTTCTTAAACAGGGGAGTATATGCTGACTTCAAAGCACCGAATATTTTCATAAGTAATGACGCCATATGTAGGTAATGACGTCACAAACATGAGGTAAATTTCTGCTTTTTATGAATCTTACAGAAAAATGTACATATAATATTTTGAGTAAGCGCATGTGTGTTCAGGATTAATATTTTGATATAATGTGTAGAATGATAATATCAATGAAATATGTCAATAGTAAGAGAGCTCTATAAATTTTAAAGCTAAAATTGTTGAAATTTTGTATTTCATCTTTCTGAAAAATATATGAAATCGGACTAGTTTGTTCATAAAAACAAAAATTGTGAATACACTGCTTTGACACTATAATATTTTCTGATAATTTACATTTCTCTTACAATTTATTGAATTCAGCACATTTCAGGAAGTTTTCAAAATTTGACTTTTGTGGGGGCAAATATATGCAATATACCGCATATAGTTCTTTACAGATAAACTAAAGTGAAGATTACTTTGATCTCATTCTTATAAATTTTATGAATTAAGATTGTTCAATAATCAGTGTTAAATAGAAATAATAAACTAAAATGTAGCGAATGTAATTTCACAGGTCCCAGCAACTATATTATAAACCCATTTTTTATGTATTTCCCTTGTGTAACTTATTTTTTTTGTCAAAAGTAGTATTCACTAAGAAAAAATACATTTTTCAAGATGTTTTCAATTGTACAGTCTCATCAAACACTCTGAGGAATCATTCCTGATTTTTTTGCGATATCTGAGTTTAATCTACATTTTGTCACATTGTAGGTTTTTGGCAGAGGGAGTGGTGCTGACTGTAGACAGCATGTACAGAGACTGAATACTCTCAGACAGCAGCAGGAAGTAGCAGTGGTAGACAGTGCTTATCAGGATGTAGCAGTGGCAGTCAGTGCTTATCAGGATGTAGCAGTGGTAGACAGTTCTTATCAGGGTTTCTCAGGGGATAAGGGTCCAGACAGTGAAGAGGTCAGGTTTTCTTGTAGCACTAGTCTGTAGTCCTGTCTGTCTAAATTTGGGATGGGTTTAGTCTTTTGGATTCAAGAAAATACCGGTAAAATGACTAATATGACTCTTCAAATGGAAAGGATTTGAAGTGGCTGATATTTTACAAAGAAGTGGAAAAATCTTGTATTTATTTTAAGAAGTTTGAAGCTAAAAACATGTATTGATATGAGTTACCAATAGTAAAATCATTATTTTTAAATCAAAAAGGGGGTAATAATGAACATGGATTAAAATTGTGATTGACACAGAGTCAGGACATTCCTCAACACAACTCTGGCAGTAAGTGGAGTCAGTATGTGGAGGAAGCTCATGAAGACTCCACCGCGGAATACCCACAACCTGAGGAGGAGCTGTATACCACAGATGGGAACCAATTTTATTGCCCCAAAAAGAGAAAAAGAGACTATGGAAAAAGGTAAAATTTTAACTTTTGGTATTATTTTTTAACAGTGTCTCCTGGGAATAAATTTTAAATATACCCTTATGTAATAAAATTGCAAAGATTGTCAAATCTTACTCTCTTACCTTCAAATTTAGTTGTAGCTACAACAACAAAAGACAGATTTATCAAAGAGATGATGCCGATTTTTCAAGTAAGAGGACATGGAAAGGACAAAAAGAGAATCTGCAATATGGTTATGATACAGACTACAGTACATGTAATACCCAGCCTAATCATAACTTTAGCCAACCAAAATCCTACACATCTGATCCAAATAATTATGGACCAAATGGAACAAAGTCATCATTACAGAATACAGCCAATTGTAATGAAGGAAGCTTATTCTCAATTGCCAACAGAGACAATGTGGCAGGATTTGAAGGGTTTGAGACATTGAAAACAATTAATCAAAACCAAATTTCTGCTTGTGCTACAAATTCTGAACCAAAACCTCAGAACACTCCAAAGACTAAAAGCTCTTCTCTGTCCAGTAACAGAGGAAGTAAAGGATCTAAGTGGGACCAGTTTCTTGCCGAGGGGAGTGATGAAGATTCAGAGGATACTGAAGAAACGTCAGTAGAGAGTTCCCAGGTTGTCCAGTCACTTATCAAAGAGCCAGCAAGGTTACACAGCAAAGTGCAGGAAACTGGAAGTGTAATCATGTCAAGCAACTGTGAATACTACAAGTCTGTTACTGTGACAGGAAGTGAAATAGGAATGTTTTCTGTAGGAGATCTTGAGGATTCTGACTTTGATGTATGAATATATTGTATTGACCATTAAAAAGTTAAAGCAAAGAAAGCAATAAAAATAATTTGATCGTGTTTTTTTTTCTATTCAACATGCATTGAAATTCTTAAGACCTTGCTCTGAAGGTTTCATATACTGCCATAGGTCCCAAAATATTAGCAGTAAATTAATTATTACATAGATTCTGGAGAAAGACCACTCACAAAATAAAATTTCTTGTTTTCATTTTAAAAATTGCTGGAATAGATGTAAAACAAGATAAACAGTGCATCAATAAATTGAAGTACTTATGATTTGACACATTCTAGTCATTCTGTGATACCTCGTACAATGGAATCTACAGTTATGATCAAATCAAATGTCCATACAAATGATACTAAATGACTTTCCTGGAGATTACTTTCTCACACTGTAACCCAGTCTGGTTCAGACAACACAAGCTGAGTCAGATTGGGTTCACAGAGTGTCCAAGGATAAATAGTGATGTGACCTTCATCCAAGTACTAGATGAGGTCATAGTCTTAATAGATCTTATTTTAATTTTTGTCTCAGTAGTGTTCCCTCCTTTTAACCCTATCTGGCTAACACCACCATGTTAAAAGTGTATGCAGTTACTTTGAACTACCAGGTAATTTTCAAGGTCAGAGGTTAAGGTAACAAAAACAAAAGGCCCAGGGGCCACATCGCTCACCTGAGCTATGAAAATGCACAAATCAGATCAGAATTGAAAGTTTACTTGGGGGTGGGGGAAGGTTTAAATCTTTAATACATGAGGATGCTTACATGTCAATATGACTTAACACAGCCTTTCTGTTATTGAGATTTTTCCCTTTATTTTCCTATGTAAAACTTTGATCCACCATTGAGACCCTTCCCTACCCTTGGAGGTTATGATTTGAACAAATTTAATTCTACACTACCTGAGGATGATTCCATATAGATATCACTAATCATGGCTTTGCTATTCTTTAGAAAATATTTTTAAAAATATATTTAAATGTAAAACTTGGATCCCCCATTGTGGCCCCACCCTATCCCTTGGGGGTTATGATTTGAACAAACTAGAATCTACAGTATCTGAGCATGCTTCCATAAAAATATCACTCATCATGGCTTTGCAGTACTTGAGAAGAAACTTTTTAAAGATTTCCCTATATATTCCAATGTAAAACTTTGATCAGCCATTGTGGCCCTACCTTACCCCGGGGGCCATGATTTGAACAAACTTTAATGTACACTCTCTGAGGATGATTCAACATGAGTTTCATCTTTCCTGTCCCTATGGATCTTGAGAAAAAGATTTTTCCTATATATTCCTATGTAAAATTTTGATTGGCCATTGTGGCTCCACCCTTGCACCGGGGGCCATGATTTGAACAAACTTGAATGTACACTATCTGAAGATGATTCAACATGAGTTTCATCCTTCCTGTCCCAATGGTTCTTGAGAAGAACATTTTTAAAGATTTTTCCTATATATTCCTATGTAAAAATTTGATCAGCCATTGTGGTCCCACCCTTGCCCTGGGGGTCCTGATTTGAACAAACTTGAATGTTCCACTTGAGTTTCATCTTTCCTTGAGAAGAAGATTTTTTTTAAAAATGCCATTAATTTTTCACTAATTCATAGGGATGAGTCAATTTTTTTCATCTTTCCTGGCCCAGTAAAAGTGTAAATAAATATGAACAAGTAAATTGATGAAGTAAAACATTTTTTTTTTTAAATGTCATTTAATACAACATTTATTTTTCAATTTATTTATCAGATAAACACAAGAAATATATTCGTAAGTGGTTCATGGTGTTTTTGCTTAAAAAAATAAACTACTCCGTAATTGTACTGTAACTCTTTGTTGCATTTGACGAAGAAGGCATGGAACTTGACCCCGATTTACGATTTTCATTTGATTTTATAGTATAAATTTGAAGCCTTTGCCGTCTGGCATGTAATGAAACACAACCATATCAACAGTCGCGCGTGTAATATCAAGGAAATACTTTGATTTGACAAAATTATCTAATTTATTTAATTATAACAGACCCTAAAAGATGTTCAGTGAAAACAAATAATTAAAGAAAATTAGAAGACAGCCGAAGGTGAGAAAAGCCTGGTAACAGTGTCACGATAATTACTGTATAAACACTGCCAAAGGCGATAAGTCATTTGAAGAAACCCTAATTACTGTATGTACAAGTGCAAAATTTTACCTTTTAAAACAGATTGTTTAATTCATTAATAAATAAGCTTAGAAATATTCAAAAATATACATCCGAGTAACCGAGTACCGATTTTAGTAGACGGTTAAACGGACATCCCTACTAATTCAAATTTTGGAAGAAGGCGTGGCCCTTCAGAACAAACTTGAATCCTCTTTACCCAAGGATACTTTGTAGCCTGAAATTGGCTGGTTCTTAAGAAGAAGATGAAAATGTGAAAAATTTACAACAACGACAACAATGACGACGGCAACGACAGACAATGGACAAAATGATCACAGTATTTTTTTTTTTTTGGAAGCATGTACATGTACACTCTCTCATTTTGGACCAGTTTTGCAAATATCTTGGTCTGCATTAATTTTGTAGTTAAAAGTCATCCTTAAGACAAGACACTGTCTTGATCACATAATGTTTCCATGGCCCATTTCAACTCGCATATTCCTTACTTTCTTAAATTTTTAATGCATATGAAGTGATCAACCTTGTACCCAACTAATTTACCACAGCAAGTTTTGTCCTTTTCTTTTGTATCATTCTGTGGCTTTTTAAAGAAAATATTTCCATTGACTTTTTTCTCGTTTTTTTTTTGGGGGGGGGGGATAACGTTTTAAAATTATGGTATGCTTTTTGAACAGGCAATAATAAGTTGACATTTTTCCATATTTGCGAAAATCGGTCCTCTGCTTGTAATATGCTTTTTTGTAACTTTCAAGGTCAGCGCTTCGAATACTGCTTGCAGCAGAGGAATGGCTGTTTTGCAAATTACTTAAAAGTTGCATAAGTACGCAAAATATTCCGTTCTTAACTAATAGAGATGACAATTACATTTAAAGGATAATAACCGCTCGGACATTTTAAGAAATTATAAACACCAAATTAATGACCGCTTATCTGGCCTTATCTCGACCGTTCTGACGCTCTAGACACTTTATCTCTTCTATAAAACAAGTCAGAGAAAGGCACCTTAATTAAAAATCTTCCCTTTGAAGTTCACTGTGTCCAGAAAATCAGCCAGGTATTTCTAAATTCTTGCAATTCTTTCAGAGTATCTGCTAAATATATTTTCTGAGTGAAAAATTACTTAGTAATAGAAGTCATGTGCTTGATATTAATTATTTTCACTTTTATGTTCCTTTTTTATATTCAATCAAAAATCTTCAAATGATAATCAGAAAAAAATCTTCAATATTTAGATACATCAAAAAACGTGAGCAACATTTTATTTAAAATTAGTAACATACAAAGATTTCGTTTTCAGTTCAGTTTTGTATGGAATCCGGATAGGGCCACGCACTTCACTATCGCACCATCGAATATATACGCATAGTTACATGTGTAACGATGAAGGATGATGCGATAGCGCGATCTTTTGGCGCGATTCGATAGTGAATATCGCTTCATGTCTACGTGAGCAACATTTTATTTAAAATAATCGCATTAACCATCGTTCATCGATTTCGCACTGTCGCGCCATAGCATCATCGTCATCGCGCTATCGCACCATCACTTCATCGCTATCGCACCATCGCCTCATCGTCATCGCATTATTTTTTAAACCTCGATGGTGGGATGATGCGATAGTGAAGTGCGTGGCCCTATCCGGATTCCATAGTTTTGATCGCATTCTTTCTTTACATAAGTTACATGTTAAAGTTGGATGCAATTTCAAATGAAACTGCCTTTTAAAAAAATATTTCAATGACAACGGAAAATTTTTAATTGCTCCTTTGTAGAAAATGATAGTAAAGGTTTTTCTTGGTGTCCTGATGACGTCACTGGCCGTAGAGATGATTCTCAGCTGCAGGTCCAGCTACCAAAATAGTCACTACAGTCAGTGCTACTGCGCATGCGACGACAACCTGTTTAATCCATGTATCAAGAACTGTAGTGTTACATACACAGACCACACACATCTGAACCATTGCAACATAAGATGTCACGACAAACTAGCGCATTGTCTTCATGTCTGCAACCATCCCGAGGTTATTGGCTAATCAAAGATGATTACACGCAATGTTATAACCGATATCGGTTTTCAAAGATTTATAAAATATTGTTGGGGAATCTTTTTTGTTATTTTGTTTCCATCTTTAATTTAAAAGTGAAAGTGTTGTTTTTCATCATGGGAACAAAGGATCCACATTACTAATAGGTAATTTATCGCACGATGACATAGACCTTCATAAAAGTGGTGAATACGTCAGGCGAGCTAAGTAGTCACAAGGCATATGTTTTGCAATGGTAGGAGAAAGTGATTGAAAAGCGAGACAAAAAAAAATGGGCATATTGGCATTAACTTTCAATTTCGGCAGAAATAAAGTTCGGTATAATACTTGAATATTTTTTTCATTTTTTTGACATGATTATTCATAAATATTTTACGATATAAAAGTTGAAAATGACTTAAATAAAAAAAAAATGCATTAATGAAAAGAATAAAAATTACAACCAAATGGCACAAAATTAAATTATAAAGTGATTTTTAACGAAGATGACATCCAAATAAATTCCATTTAATCGGTGAAACCATTCCATTGGGAGCTTACCTCATGTAATTCTGTAAATGACGATAGATAAGTACATATAGGTCTACCCCCTCTGTGCTATAAAATGAAATAAAATAAAGTTATTTTATAGTATAGAGAAGGGTAGACCTATATATACTTATCTTTCGTCATTTACAGAATTACATGGGGAGCGCCTTTGATTATAATGTCCATCTACGGGTCAAGATCTGAACAAATCTATACTGTCTGAAGATGCATCAATTTCAATACGATTAATCGGGGCGTTGTTATTTTTACGAAGATCTTTAAACTACTTATTACTCTAGATCTGTAAAAAATTAAGTTTTCATAATGGCAAAACCCTTCCCCGGGGTTCATAATTTGAACAAACTCACTACTCTGCTCGTGGTTACTGCTGTTCTTCAATATTTTCAAAGGATTTTCCCCTCTACATCATGTACATTTCTAAGTGAAAACGTGATTTCAAATTGTGGTCCTACTCTATACCAATGAGGGCATAATTTGAACAAATTTCTTCTAGATCAATATGGCTTAGCATGGTATAGTTATCCTTGAGAGTTTTTCCTTTTATACTCAATGTTACACTATGATCCCATTGTGGCACCACCTTGTCCACAGAATGTCAAGGGTTCTTGAGAAGATTCATAAAAGACCGATGCCACTAAAATTTTACTATTTCTTTAATATTCTCTTTGAAAGAGGACGCGGCCCTTTATTTGAACATTAAACTTGAGTCTTTTGTCTATGAATACTTTCACAGGCACTTGGGGTATGGACCCCCTTTTCCATTTTTTTCTCTTTAAATCTGGGATCAGTAACTTTTCCTCTATTTTGTATTCTAAAATACATGCACTAAATGTTATACAGTATTAAAAATGTAACCCTTTTGTCTCTATAAGCTGTTTTTAAATACATAGTTTTTGACTGATACATAAAAAGAGAGAAGCCTTCTCTCTTTTTATGTATCAGTCAAAAGCGATATACTAGTATTTAAAAACAGCTTATAGAGACAACAGCTTTTATAGACGGCCACGTTTCACGCTAAAGTGGCCTTGCAAAGACTATCCTGCAAAAGATGAGGTGGGAAGACAACATCCCTTAGTGGACTGGACTGAGCCTCGCATAAACCCAGAGAGCGACAGAAAGCAGAGATTTATGGATAAAAGTGGTGGATAGGTCTTCGAAGGTGCCCCAACGACATCCACGGAAGTCAAGGGATAGGTGAAGGGTGAAGGTGAATAGAGACAAAAGGGTTACACTACTGATAACATATAGTGCATATTAGAATACAAAAATAGGAAAAAGGTTACTTGATCCCAGATTTAAAAAATAGAAAAAGGGGGGGGGGGCATACCCCAAGTGCCTGTGGATGCTTTATGGCAATTTTGGTTAAAAACTAGTCTAGCGGTTTTGGAGAAGGAATCAAAATTATGTGACATTTAGAGATTGAAGAATAAATGAGAAAAACTGTGAGTAGAAAAGCTCACTTTGGGTTTTCACCTAAGGTGAGCTAAAAACAGCACCTTCTATTACTACCTGCAGAAATTTTAAGAGAATTTTTATGCGCCCTGATTGATAGATCCGGGGCGTATATTGTTTTTGTCCTGTTTGTTTGTTTGTTTGTCTGCAAACTTTAACCTTCTCCATAACTTTTGAACCAAGAAAGATAGAGACTTCATATTTGGTATGCATACTTCACTAATTAAGCTCTTTCAAATGACACCAAGGTCAATGGCTTTGTGACCTTGACTGTGACCTATATACTAAAAAGAGCTTTTCATCTGCAAACTATAACCTTCGCCATAACTTTTGAACCACGAAAGGTAGATATTTCATGTTTGGTATGCGTACTCCACTAATTAAGCTCTTTCAAATGACACCAAGGTCAATGACCTTTTGACCTTGACCTGTATGCTAAAAATAGTTTTTTCATACCTTTGCCATAACTTTCGAACCATAGAAGATAGAGACTGCACATTTAGTATCCATACTTCACTAATTAATCTTTTTCAAATGACACCAAGGTTAACTAGAACTGTCCAATAGGGACAAATACCCCCCGCTGGGTTTTTCAGAGAAGGTGTCAATTCAAAAATACTTTATGGATCTAGAGGTGTTCACTATTTACTACAAAAATTTCAGTGAAATATAATTGCTCATCATGTTTCTTAATGAATGAAACAAATGTGCAACCAAATGACTTTTGACATTTTTTAAAATTTTTTTCATTTTATTTTTTTTTATTACTGCATTAAAAAAATAAATTGCAATTATGTGTTATGTCACTCTGCAAACTGATTGTTAAAAAAAAAAACCATTATACAAAATCAAATTAATCTTGATATATCAATTTGAAATGCATTTTGAAAATAAAGAGCTGGTCATCCAGTAATGAAGTGCTTTGACAGACAATAAATTACCTTGTGCCTTATTCCCTGGAGATAGATAACACACACCCTTGATAAGAGATATGCATTAACAACTTCCAACACCAAACTCATTAATTTATCTTTAACTGGATGCATGTCCAGTCATTATTCCCAAGAGACAAATGAAATTACATTATCTTCTGTGCAATGTAAAAACTGTTTTTAACACTTGATGATGTTTCTTTTTTTAAGTTTTTATGAGTAGTTTTAAGCTGTAGTATTTTTGACCAGATATTCTAGATTCTATATCTCAAACCTTATACACGAGCCCAAAATGAACAAGTCAATTAAAATAAAAAATAAAACCTGTAAAATGCAAAAAAATCAACAAAAAGAGTTGAAAATTCCACGTGCACACCTTCATATGGTGAATAATAAGTGTACAAATTTTCAGATTAATCCTTGCAATAGTTTCTGTCCAGACAAAACCACAAAATAAAAATGAAAAAACACCTGTAAAATTCAAAATAATAATCCAATCAAGATGAAAACATCAGGTCACAACTTCATATGGTGAATAATATGTGTACAAATTTTCAGACAAATCCTTCCAATAGTTTCTGAGTAATGGTCCGGACAAAATCTTGTCTACAGCTAGACAGACAGACGGACATGGTGATTCCAATATACCCCCCCTAAACTTCGTTTGCAGGGGGTATAATGACCTTGTGACCTTGACTATGACCTGTATGCTAAAAATAGTTTTTTTTTTGTACATTTGCCATAACTCTTGAACCATAAGAGATAGAGACTTCATATTTGGTATCCATACTTTACTAATCAAGTTCTTTCAAATGACATCAAGGTCAATGAAGTTGTGACCTTGACTGTGACATATATGCTAAAAGTCTTTTTAAAAATTTTGTTGCAACCAGGCGCATAGTGTTTCACAAACACATCTTGTTTGCTTTTTCTTTTGAAACATGTAATTGAATTTTTAGCTATCCCTGGTCATTGCAATTCTCTTGCATCTTCAGTTCCTTTGTGTCCATTAAGCCCTCTTATTTCCAATAAGAATAAATGCTTTTAAAAATAACAAATTCAAGATTTCATATTGACTTTATTTGATTGTAACAGTGTAAAGTTGATTCCTTTCCTAAATTTCAACAAAATGGTGCTGTCATGATGAAAGATTCAACAAAGTTAAAACAAACTGGTCAGAATATAGGAAAACCGTCAAGTCTACTGCAGAAAAATATTTCCAGCTAAACAAAACTCATTTTACAGACTTTAAGCAAAAAGTTTTTATTCTCATTAAATCCATCCAGTTTCTTTTTTTTTAAAAATAAAAACCATAAAGCACTCTTTGGTGGGAATATTGGGTACTACATGACCGAAATATGATCCCCCATGTGAGTTAGTCATGTGACAATCTAAGTTACAATGTATCTTAAAAATTTGTTAAGAATCAATGCAAACTTCCTCATTGTATAAAACTGACTTAAGTATAGGAATATGAATATTGTTTACATACATACACCTGGTGAATATACATGAAGATAAAACTGGATTTTCAGCTAATAATGCAGTGCAGAACTGTGTAAGTAAATATGTAGGTAAATAAGCTCTGTATTAAGCTACAGTCAAAATAAGTTGTTACAAAATGTAAATAAATATTTTTTGGGATTAAATTCACACCATATAGATTTTGACAAGAAAGAATCAGTTACAATTCTTCAATTTGTCCTGAAATGCCTTTTGAAAAATGTTATGAAGCACTATCTTTCATATATGTCATGGTCAAAACTTTCATAATCTAGAATTGTTTTACCCTGATTATATACTATTAAGTAGAGAAGAATTTGTGCTTCCTTTGAAAAACTGTGGCATTTGAAAAGATTTCAAGTGAAACTCTTTATTTTTAGGAGGTAATAATGTTACAGCAATTCTAATGACAGTCTGGATTTAAAAAGGGGAGGGGGAAATTGTTGCTTATAACATTCAACTATTTCAACCCCAAATGAGTAATTTCTGATATTGGGTTACATATTGTATGGTAATTAAGTCTTTTTCCCAAAAGAAAATTGCTGTTATGGACCTGGAGGAAATTATCAAATGAATACAAGTACACATACACAGCTTACTCTGTCAACTCTCATTTGCCAAGATCTCCATGTTAAATTTACATTAACACTGTCATTTTCCACACACAATCATGCTCCAACTATTCATTAAGAAAGTCTCTATATAACAACAAACTTATTTACACATCTTATAATCGTAACTTCTAAGGGAAAATTAAATACACACCTATTCTAAATATGCAACATACATGTAAATGTATCATAAGAAATATATAGAAATATTATCCATATGTAATGTATATATCTTAATTAAAGAGGAAAAACAAAATGATCACAGATTTTTGTTTCAATAACAAGGAAAAACAGTCATAATATAAAAATTCAACTCAAACTTCAATTGACACCTGATTTTTAACTAGAAACTCAACAAAAACTCATGTGCATAACACATAACTTTTAACTACACAAGTTTACAACAATGACATTTATACCCTATGCATAATCTTCAACAAATGCAACTACTTTTCACATAAAAAATTTCACAAATAAATAAAAATGTTAATAAAAAATGATCCTTGAACTAATGCAGACATTCTATACATCAACTTCTGAAATCAACAGTTTTCATCCTTAAACAACATTTTCAACTGATCAAATCTTGCTGTTTATATACAAAAGGTGGTGCATGCCATGGGAAAAATGGAACAATGCATATGAAATAGTTTACATTTCATTACTGTTAGCCCTAGAGGGTTGTTTTCAGTTTTTTTTAAACATATACTTTTATTTTTTAAAGTACTAACAGTTCTCAATGCCACAGATATTGCGTGCAATCAAAAACCTGTCCGTTTCTTTATTTGGGATTAATTCCTTCGGACCAGAATACTTATTTTCCTCTCATACAAAACATTCCAGAACAGTTCTTATATTAAACGTTAATTTGCATACTCTGCATGACACATGCATAAATTAATCAATCCGATATTCATTAGATATCCAATTCACACTGTGCATGATACATGCAAATAGCAATTGAATGTACTTAGGAATTCTGTGAAATCACTAATTTCCTTAGGGTTTTTATTTCAGTGTTTTTCATGGAGTAAAGACTCCAAGAAATATATGTCCAGCATGTTATCAACAGTATCACATGTATCATCTATCAACCATGAAATGGAATCTCCAAGATCCAGTTTTTATTTCTTTCCACTATGAAAACTTGACCCCTTGGAAATCAGTGATACTATGAAAGTACATGGCCTGAAGTTAAGGGGGGAAATCACACACACAAATGCTTTATCAAATGGAACAGCTCATCATTCGCAAGACTGCATCTTTGCTGACATGATACCATGAATGTCAAAAAATTTTAATATGCATTAAAAGATGATGTAATTGTATGATAATCAATAAATATTTCATTAAAAGACAACAAGATCTTTTTTTTATACTAAATGCAGCAGGCCACTTTATGCATGAGTTATGTGCCCTTTATGCTATTATATAGTCAATAATTATAAATTGCATACTCTACTACAAATTTGGAAAAGGTTAATTATGATAAGACAGTAAACAAGCTAAAATCTAGCTAATGCTACGTTCGCGGGCTGTTGTTATTGTAACCACTATCTAGAGATGTTGTTGAGCCTTTGCGAGAGTGACCAATCGTCGATGACGATGAATGATGACCAGCCAATGAAGAGCTAGTGAATAACTTGTACCAGCCAATAACAATGTTTGAAAGATCTAAGTGATCTAGGAGTATTTGTGCCACACCCATAAACACTTTACGGTCCATTCTTCCATAATCTCCCCATACTGTAACCTAAAAAAGAGAGAAGTTTTGTAATCAGCAAGCTATACATTGAATAACTTTGATTTTTTTAAGAAAATCCAATAAAAAAGATTCTAAATATGATCTATTTTTTATTCTGATATTGTTCTCACTAAGTTTAAACTTTGCTGAAAGAATGAGTAGTAGCATTTTGAGATATTTATGGCCATGCTACTTTTTTGCAACCATGGAACACTGTTCATGACAAAAATAATTTTTACATCTTATAGAAATTTAAAGTGTTCCTGACAACACATTAGGATGTGAATAAATGAATGTAAATTATTAAAGATTGTGCTGCAATTTACTTGTAGTATTTTGCCCCTGTAGTCCTCGGTGAAGGCCAGCTGTTGTTGATACAGAGGATCTAATGTTCGTCTGGCCACCGTGGTCTTCTGTTTTTCCACACAGTGCTTCCCATCAATTAAGTACACCTTCACATAAGGAGCTGCAAAAGACAACAACTCATTTATATTTTCATATAAATGATTTACATTATTAAATATTTTGCTTGAGAATGCCATAATTATTTAGCAGAAATTTCATTATTTTCATGAAGATATCTCAAAATTTAATACAGCAATATATATTAAGGCATTTAATTTCTAGCTGATCATGGGTTACAAACCTGGAAGAATTTTGGCCCCTGCTTTAGGAATAAGGCCCCGGGCCCTGATGACCTCCACCTCCAGGTGGTGCTTCCTGTCGTACAGACTGAGCTGGATCTCCCCCAGACAAGCTGAGCCCAGGACCTGACGCCCCACAAGCTGAGCTGGACCTAGTCCATCAATAAAATCCCCAAACTGTCCCTCAGGGCCCAGTCTCATTCCTGCAGGATTCAGCCACAGACTACAGGGGAAAATACACATTGTATAATATATACTAAGTTCTAATCAATGTCAGTTGAATTGGGCTGAAATTTTGTTTTCTTAAAATTTATGTATATAGAAGTATTACTTACACACTCCCAGAATCACTGCTAATACTCCCAATACTGCCGTCAGTAGAGTCCTTACTTGGCTGCTTCACCAGACCTCGTCCGGACAACACTTCCTCACTTCGCTGGATGGAGCTCTTCTTCTTCCCATCAGACAGCTGTGAAGCGCTGCTACTTCTGCGCTGGAGACCAATCAGTGACCCAATCTTGTGACCCAGACTTGGCCGCCTTCGCCGACCCTCGGTGACACACGACCCGACCTCAGAGTCGGACATACTACCACTACTGCTCTGTTTCTGGAAGCCTTGACTATCACCAGTGGGAGTTCGTACAGAAGGTTGCTGTTGTCTGGGTATGGTAGACTTGGTATTTATTTTTTCTTTAAATTGGCTGAAATAGATAACAAACACATTGAAATGACATGAATAAATGGAGCTTTCCTATTCAGAATATGTTGTGTACACACTACAAACATATCACAAATCCACTTTATCCCTAGACATAGCTGCAGAAATGTAGCTCTCTGCTTGAGAAAATTTGGACAGATAAAGCAGAGAGCTACAGATCCAAGCGTTGTAAAAACCTTCGATTTACGCCGATGATTTTTTGTCGCTCACTATGGGTATTTTTTTGTGTATTTTATACTTTCCCCAGCTATGAAAATAATTTTAAATGGTATTTGATAATTAATTAATCATACTTCAAGGACTGTTTCAGACCCAGAAAAGGTAAACAAAGTATCAAATATAAGAGTTAAATATATGAATTAGTATAGGATACCATTTTAAAAGCCAGAGAAAGCTTTAATTACACAAATAAATACCTAAAGTAGTGACAGAAAATCATCGACGTAAATCGAAGGTTTTTACGACGCTTGGATCTGTAGCTCTCTGCTTTATCTGTCCGAATTTTCTAAAGCAGAGAGCTACAGTTCTGCAGCTACCCTAGACATGGAGTCACTGTATTTTCAGAATTTATATTCAATAGATTTTATTACTGTTGGCTAGACATACTAACTCCTGTCAATAGTCAACTGACCTAAATTTTCTGTGAGGTTTCTCAGACTGGGTGGAGCGAACACTTATGGTGCTGACTTTGGAGATTTCGGAGATGTCGCTATCGCCATCACTTGGAATATCATATTCATTGCCCAAATCTGAAACCATTCAAATGAAACTGCTAGACTCAAGATAATAAGAGTTTTTCCAATTTATCATCTAAATAACTCAATGCCACAGTTGATGAAAATGTCCTGAGTCTACGATTCCTCCCCTACCTTTTCTGCGCCCCCGTGAGAGGTCTCTGTCGTACTGGGGATACCCCCGTTCCCGGGATATAGATCTGTCGTAAGCTCTGCTGTGACGTCCCCTCATTGCTTCACTGTCAGAGAGATTTGGGGTCACACTGCCTGGTCGCATACGACTCTTGATCTGACGAGCTCTCTCTTCTAAATCTCTCACAACTGATAAATGTATAAAAAGTGTGTCATCAAATATATTTCTTTATGTAGATGGTACTTTGAACTTTTACTGGACAAACTTAAAGCAAAGTAGGACTTATATTAATCCATAGTAATTGTGATTTCATTTTTAAAGCCAATTCTATAAATATGTGATATTTGGTATAATATAAATAATACCCTGAAGTCACTGAATCATACTGTAAGGCTGACTAACCTCTATCTCTGCTTTCTCTCTGAGCGTCTGTAGGAATTGCAGGCAACTGTCTCTTCTTGGGTGAGGGAGTGTTGGAGGGCGAATTTGCCATCAGTCGGGAGGGGGATGAGCTACAGTGAAATTAGTTAATATAAGAAAGATTTAACGTATAAAAGGTATATAGAGAGACTGCTATGCAGTACCTGAGTACTGTACATCCAGATGAGTTGATACTGTGAATCTATTTGTACCATACATTATACAAGTTAGCAAGAAGTAGTTATGCAATTTTTGAAAGAAAGAATTAAATCAATATCTAATTTCAGCAATCTCAACGCTTTCACTGATGCCAAAATTGAATCTTTATTTGATGATTGTTTCAGTTAAACAATCTATTTATCATGATGTCTTTCTTTGTATGTATATATATTTGTACCTTAGATCCGGTGGGGAGAGTGAGCGGGTTACTGTTTCAGGCACACGATGGTAGGAGGAGGAAGGTGTCCTTGACCTATTTCTGGTGTGAATGTCAGGCGGTTTGGGGGAGGTTGACCTATTTCTGGGGTGAATATCAGGCGGTTTGGGGGATGTTGACCTCTGATGCGGGCTCTGTTCCCCGGGGACAGACAACTTCTCTACAGCAGTCTTTGAGTGTCGGTGAGAACGTTCATGTTCCTCTCGACTGGATACTGAAATAATCAAACAATACTTATCATATATAGAACAAATTCTATAACACAAAGAGCATCAATAGAGGCTGTGCATCACATTTTTTAAATTTCATATTTATGTTTAAATAAATAATTCAGTTTATCAACAAAGGAGCCTTGATTAATCTAGATGATAATAATTCAGACGCTTCACCTTTAGGACTAAATTAGAGTGTAATAATTCATATTCATATACCAAGTTATGTTTCTGTTTAGGAACACAAGTGTCTGGATTAATGCGGTTCCACTGTACGTTTCATATTAACTGGCATGCAAAGCAGTTTTACTTACATAAAAAAAACATAGGTAATCAGAGATTACAGAGCTCACCTCAACAAATGTTGTTTTTAAGTAAGGCAAAGTCACACAATTAACCAACAAAAAGTGTACATCCCAAAATGAAAATATTTATGCAATTTTGATCTGATACTTTGGAATAGACCTATATAAAAACTTCAAACTAGTTCTTTTTCATGAAATTGTAATTAAAATCAGCATCTGAATCAAATTTGAGAGTTTCATCCCTTGATGCATCATTTGTGCAAGTTTGGTTTATACAATGTTATATAAGCCATATAGTTTTTTTTGGTAATAGACCTGCACCCATAACTTTTACCTGGTCCATTATCTGAAAAATGTATGTCACATCCCACATCCGAAGCAAGTCCATTAATGTGTATCCTAAACTGTATTGTCCATGCAAGTTTGCTCATTATAGGGCTCATAGTTACTTGGAAATGAAACCTGCATCAAAAACTAACCTTTTCACTCATCCAAAAAATGTAGGTCAGATTCAGCATCTGAAGCAAGCCTGGTAGTATGCATCCCAAGATGTTTCATCCATGCAAGTTAAGTCATTATAGGGCTCATATTATCTTAGAAATGAAACCTGCACCTAAAACTTTAACCTGTTCACTCATCTGGAAAATGTAGGTCAGATCCAGCATCCGAAACAAGCCTGGTATTGTGCATCCTAAGATGTACCATCCACGCAAGTTTGGTCAACATAGGGCTCATAGTTACTTGGAAATGAGACCTGCTCCAAAAACATTTACCTGTTCACTCAACCAGAAAATGTAGGTCAGATTCAGCATCTGAAGCAAGCCTGGTATTATACATCCCAAGATGTTTCATCCATGCAAGTTAAGTCATTATAGGGCTCATAGTATCTTAGAAATGAAACCTGCACCTAAGACTTTAACCTATTCACTCATCTGGAAAATGTAGGTCAGATCCAGCATCCGAAACAAGCCTGGTATTGTGCATCCTAAGATGTACCATCCGTGCAAGTTTGGTCAATATAGGGCTCATTGTTACTTGGAAATGAGACCTGCTCCAAAAACATTTACCTGTTCACTCAACCAGAAAATGTAGGTCAGATTCAGCATCCGAAGCAAGTCCTGTAGTATGCATCCTTAGATGTATCATCCATGCAAGTTTAGTCATTATAGTGCTCATAGTACCATTGAAATGAAACGAAATGAGACCTGCACCAAAAACTTTAACCTGTTCACTCAACGGGAAAGTGTAGGTCAGATTCAGCATCTGAAGCAAGTCTGGTAGTGTACAACCTTAGATGTATCATCCATCCAAGTTTGGTCAACATATGGCTTATAGTTACTTGGAAATAAGACCTGCAACAAAAACATTAACCTGTTCACTCAACCGGAAAATGTAGGTCAGATTCAGCATCCAAAGCAAGCCCAGTAGTGTACATTCTTAGATGTATCACCCATGCAAGTTTGGTCAACATAGGGTTTATAGTTCCTTGGAAATGAGACCTACACCAAAAACTGCACCAAAAATGTTAACCTGCTCCAAAAACATTAACCGGGTCATTCCTTTGCTGAAATTGCAGCATCTGAATCTTTGACTGGTACAATGAAACACACTAGAAGCATCTTCCATGCATGTCTAATCAATATAGGACATAGAAGTACTTAAAAAGAAAACTGCTCCAAAAAACTTAACCTGGGACACCGACACCGACGCCGACACCGAGGGTATTACATAAGCTCCCCTAACTTCGTTGAGGTGAGCTAAAAATCTGTCCAGTAATTTCCTTTTTACTTATTATAAGAATCAATAGTTCTACAGTAATTATCATGTGAAGGGAAAGCCAAGGAGAAAAGTTTTTCAGTGTGGTCAAACACTAGATAAAGGAAAGTTTTGCATTGAGTTTACCATAATCAATTTTAAGCTAGATAAAAAAGTTTAACCATCACCATGTGTATAACTATAGTACTAAGTAATCATGGAAAGATAAGTTTTGTATGGAGCAGCTCTCCTCAAGTTTCTACAGAGGCTAAAATACATAATTCTTAGACAAGGAAGAGAGATTCTATCCATCACCATTTGCTTAGTTAGGCTGCATTCTTAGAGTTTATCTAACAATACCTATAGCTTCTCTTAACCTGGTGACAGGGTCCTCCTTAGCTATGGGAGGTTCCCGAGCTAGGGGGGAGATAGCTGGGTGGAATCGGCTCTTAAGAATGGGTATGGGCCTTGTGCGTATGTGTGAGTATCTGTAATCAGTGGGGTCTGAGTATTCATCACTTCCTGCTGAACTACCGTATGAACTGCAGGAACTAGTCTTATCCCGGCGCCAAACTTCTGCTGTTACACAATATAATCTGTTGTCTTACTCACAGTCCAGAGATTGAAAAAAGTACTTACAGATACAAAATGTGTCTCTATGCTCCTCATTGAGTGAACAGACATTAGTTAATAAGTGAAGAAACAAATTCAGAATCAATATCTGTGATATTTGGTGTATCTACCTTATTATATTGTGTATCGTGGATCAAACCCACCAAAAAATTTTATCAAAACTCCACCTATGTGCATGGTCAAGTAATTTTCTGTCTTGTTATTATTAATACAATGTGTAATTTAAGAAGAATGTGTGAGTTTACCTGGGATATTTCCCATGAACCTTTCGTCCATATCAAACTCGGACATGTCACTGTCGCTGTGACCTCGGGAGCTAACAGGGGGGGATAGGTGATCTTTCCTTCCATAATATGCCTCCTGATGAGTTTTCTGGAAAACCAAAATTATTAACGATTAAAAACCTCTTAAAAGGTGTTTTACATACATTTATATATATATTATCTGACATAAGATTATCTTCAATAGTTAGTTTTATGTATGTTGAAATACCGTATGAGTAGAATTTTTAGCGAGGATTTAATTTTGGCATTATTAGCGAGGGTGCTGATATTGCTAAAAATTAATTGCGTTTTATTTGTAATAGCTTCTTAAATGTGCATTTTAAAATTGCTAAAATAACATCTCGCTAAAAATAAATTACCAGTTTTTAAGGACAAATCGCTAAATTTGCATCTCGCTAAAATTTCCACTTATACGGTATTCATGAATGCAAAATTGCTACCAAAAACATAAATGCACAAATTTACATATCAAACTTGAGTATTCAGACAAATAAAGAGGGTTTTATGCCCAGAGAGATTACTCAGGTGAGCTAAAATACATGGAAGGATTAAAACTTACAGTTCTGGGTGAGGACTCAGGAAGGGGTAAACTGCTCTCATCGTGTTGTGACAGGGCGTACCAGAAGGGGTCATCCTCTAAGTTAGCACTGTGCAAGTCAAGCAGGACCTGTTAACAGATATCTTTATTTATTGTTTGGCTATTTTGACAAAACAAAATTTCTAGCTGTAATAAAATATTAACCTGTACAGTAAACTTTGTAAAAAATAATATTTACCTCTCCCAGAAATTCACTAGGTCCCATGCGATCGTAGTCCCATACAGTAATCTCCAGCAGTGAGTTACGGAGGTCCGCTATCGTGACTCCGTCGTACATAAAGGTCTGGTTCCAGGTAGGCTCGTTGCTATTCATCACTGTTTTTGTTCGCCTCCTACTTTTTTCACTAAAATTAGACGTATATTTTCTACATACATATTTGTATTCATCACACAACTTTAAACAGCACATCTCAGAAAAAATTATAGAAAGCTCTTGTTCATTTATAAAAATTTTCAATACAAGTTTCAAAATTGTTTTTCTTATTAAAGATAAGGAAAACAAACCTCCTATCTGGAAGTAGATAGACTTTGCAGTAAGGGTGTCTGAACTGGCCTTTAGTTGTGGGAGGCAAGTTTGTAGCACTGATGATGGTCAGAATCAACTCCTGTTCCTTCACATTGTACCACAACTTCAACTGAAAGCAGACCAATCTCTTTATAGTAAAACTTGGATCCCTCCCCCTCCTCCCAGAAATACATAAGAGCATGCAATGTAAATCTTTTTTATTTTAAAGAACTTTTTTCGTGGTAATTTAACATGACTGTCTTCTCTTGAGAAATTTGTTCTCTCATATACTGTTATTATAGTTTTTAAATAAAAGACTAAGTTTAATGCCAAAAATAGCCATCAATCATAAAAATTTCACCTTATCTATGAAGAAATCAAAAAGTAACATAAGGTGTAACCAGATTTGGTGATCCACTGCATTTAGAAAATATGCATTTTTCTTTTTAAACCTTCTCAGATGGAACCATACTAAATCACAACAACAGGTATTAAAATAAATTTTATGTTTCTATAATTTGGTCAAATCCATATTGATGAAGAATTAGGAGTGCTGCTAATTGCCCATTTTACCATTCAGACATCTTCTTTGTTTTTGATACAACAGAGACAAAATTGATTTTCTTCGGTTTTACTATGCATGTCTTCAATCTGATCTGATTTTCCCTAATTAACTGTCTCGTCAAACTAAAATTGGAAAGTCTGGAAATTAGAGCGGCTGTAACAGTTACCTGGATTTTGCCCATGGATTTGGAAGTCTGCATCCTTGACCTAGAACTGGAGGGTAAAGGGGTTGTTTCTGAGAGATTTGGTCTTCTGCCATGGCCATTGGTATAATCTGAATTTAAAAAAATTCATTGCAATTAAATTCGTACATTCTCAGCTTTGATCTCTTGTTTCCCTAGTTGGACAATTTATTTTGTCCTTAAGTTACTTTTTCATAGCAAACCATATATACTGCATAAATTCCATTAATAAATGTAATGTATATATACTGACCTTTGACCCTCTTACCTCTTTGGTCATGGTCCAGTGGACTTCGTCGAGTATTATGGTCACTTTGTTGTAATCCTGGTGGAACTTCACCAGAACTGCAAGTAAATAAAAATATGAGAACCAAAATATCTGGCTTAAAAAATGCAACAAGAACACATCAATCAAACTTCAGAATACTCCAACATGTCCAATTTGAGAATACTTTCATATTTTATTTAAAATCTAGAATAGTTTTCAAAAAATATCCAAATAATTCTTAAACTTGCAGAAATTTCCATTAACTTTGAAAATAACAATGAAAATGTTGCAATTTGTTTCCTTACATGGCATTACGATGGACAATTAGCTCCACCTGTGGTTCCTGCTTGGACTCCATGATGATGTCTCGAACCTCCTCAAACGTGGCTCTCTGTAGACATCTCCCATTGAACTCCAGCACCTCATCACCTACAATAAACACACTCATAGAGCACCTCATCACCTACAATAAACACACTCATAGAGCACCTCATCACCTACAATATATAGACTCATAGAGCACCTCATCACCTACAATAAACACACTCATAGAGCACCTCATCACCTACAATATACAGACTCATAGAGCACCTCATCACCTCCAATAAACACACTCATAGAGCACCTCATCACCTACAATAAACACACTCATAGAGCACCTCATCACCTTTAATAAACACAGACTCATAGATCACCTCATCACCTACAATAAACACAGACTCATCGATCACCTCATCACCTACAATAAACACAGACTCATAGATCACCTCATCACCTACAATATACAGACTCATAGAGCACCTCATCACCTACAATAAACACAGACTCATAGATCACCTCATCACCTACAATAAACATAGATTACTTCAGTACTAGTAGTTGAGGTTAATATACAAAATTTTTCATCCTACAAAAACCTTTCCCAACTGTGGCACAAGTCTTCAATAGTGTTGTCAAATCGGTTGAAAATCAGAATCGATTAATCGGTAGCATCGGTTGACCTTAACCAACTGATCATCGGCCAATAATCGAATCGGTAACTCTTTGCATAAAATAGGCATTAGATTTTATAAAGATTAGAATTTTATTGTTAAATAATGTAAGTAAAGGTGCATTGTACAGATCGAAATTCTAAAAACAGTATATATGCAGTTTGATTAACAATTTCAGTAATACAAACTTTTGCATGATTATGAAATACTTGGCCTGGGAAACATAAGCATTGACAGATCAGGTTTTAATTTCCATGATCATCTAAAATGTATATGGAATTAATTTTTAAAGCTATTATAAGACATTTGATATTGCGAATTCCTTGTAATTCCCTATGAAATGACAGGTGAATTCCCCCAAATACTGAAAACTAATTTATTTCATTTACACAAGTAGTTTAGTTTCTTCAGTTTAGAAATACAAATATCATTATCTTTTGATTTATTTTAAACAGATTTTAAGTACATGTATTTTAAAATAGTAAAGGACAACTCTTGAAAGATATATATTTTGATAACAAGAGCCTGTTCTTGAAATAAAAGTGAGAAAACTGTAAAAAAAAAAAAAAGATATGTGCTGAAATATACCGATTAATAGATTGTTAAAATCTCCAATCGATTGTCTAAAATCGACAGTCTTTCCGACCGATCATCGATTATAAATCAATCATTGTGACAACACTAGTCTTCAATAAGCAACACAAAATGCCTTTTGCAGCATCTTATGCATTGGCCATGTTGACCAAACAAGACTGGTCAAGGTAGGACTTGGAGATCTGTGGGAATTGACCTGCTTCAATTTTGTTTACCTCGTCTTGCACTGATTCAGAAGGTATACAGATATAAGTTCAACATCCCAAGCATGTCAGAGAGTGGTCCATGTAGAGCTTGGAAAATGAACTTGCTTAAAAAAATACTAACTTGGGATCCAAGAACAGAGGGTATTTATACAGCATACATGTATAAGTATTCCCCAACCTTATAGAGGTTTGTTGAAACCCAGAATTATTTTCACATAATATTTAATGCTTCCAATTGATTGACTTGAAATAAGATCACTGAATGACCTAGATGTTGTACTCTCTAAACAACATTGGGAGAAAAATCAATCCCTCGGAAGAGACATGACAAGAAGAAACCCAATCTGTTCATTGTGACTGTTTCAAAAAACAATAGCTGGACAAACTGGTTTGAACCGAAAATAGGTCCATTTTTCATCATGCACCAAATGACTCGAAATTTTCTCTATTTCAATTCTTAAAACAGTTTGTCTATTGTGTGTAATTTTGTGTAGATGCTTCATGCAAATGCATGAAAATAATTACAGGTTACAAGCTAATTCTCAGGGGTTCTGTAAAGAGTTCCGAGCTAGGCATTCTGAAAAATGAACTTTCCTCTCTTGGCATAGATTCAGAAACTGTGTTAACATCAACATATAAGCACCCTCTTATGACAAAACATGAATGAATTATGTATGAATAGCAGAGAGCATCCCATATCTTATAGTCCTGAACAACTAAAATTAGCAGTTTTTAATAAAGGATCATAACCATCTGGGGGTAATAAAATTAACAGATCATATCAGGATGGAAATTATGTATCTTAAATTCCATATTTATATACCTTCCATTACTCCTATCAAAGGATAATAATATTTACAGCTTGTATGAAGGTATGCAAAAGGATTACTACTTACAGTTATATAATGTGTTTATAAAATAAGAAAATTTGGTTGTCCAATTCATTTTTTACTTTGGCCTATCCTGTTAAGCCTGACAAATATTATGGCTTAGCACTCATGGGTTGGAATGAACTGCCTAAGTCTCTTTCTTGTAAAAAAAAAGTTACAACTAAAATGGCTTTGATGCAATGCTTAATTTTCTTTTCCCCTACTTCATCCTTATTATTATTAAAATCAAGATATTCATGATAATGAGAGAAGTAAGGTTAAACTATACCTGGTCTGAGATGGCCTACAGTATCTGCTATACTGCCCTTTTTGACTTTCGTAATGTATGCACCGTGTTGGCCTAAAGGGGTCTCTCTTCCTCCAACAATACTTAACCCTAGAGAGAAGGAAAGACCTGTATTATTTAGTAGTTATTAACATAACTTACCATATATCAATGAAAGCACAACGGTTCCCTGATCAAATGATCATGGTTGTGTCTTATAACACAATTTCTCAGAATTTGATGACTAACATTTGAACATCTGCTCATTAGTATCTTTTGATATCATCTGTATGATCTTTAAAATTCAACAGTACTGTGGCTTTTATCATAAGATATTTATGCTCCTTTTATATGTTTTTGCTTTAGTCAAGGTAATATCTTGCTTTTACATCTTTTTACGTATTTGAGATCTCATATCTTAACGTATGTGCAAATATTATAATGGTCTTTTTCTGAACTGGAAATATACAATTATTGTTGTTTTTAGGTCAATACGATGATTTAACCATCTGAATAGAACAATATTCACCAAGTCCGAAGGCTGAGGATTAAGGTTAGGTTTTTGGGGATGGGTGGGTCATGGGTCCCCTCCCTTCCCCTCAAACACCTCCACCCCAAATCATAATTCCCCTTTTTAGTGTTCACATAAATGGAAGTTATTGGTAGCAAATGAAATAACTTTCAAAAATGTATCAATTGGAAATTTCCTGATTTATTTTTACACAAATGTAGAGAAAGTAAATCCTTATATTTACATGGAAGGTCACGTGCAGATAAACATAACAGTATTTTTTCTACATTGTTGAATCTCAACCAATCAGAGAGATAGGACAGGTAGGAACTATTGAATCATATAACAATCATTTTAAGAACACATTGGCTTTCACAAAAAATATTAAACCCCCTTCTCTGTATACATTGTCAGTATGTCTGTCTATGTCAACATTTGTCAGTTTTGTCACAGATTTCTGGTATGTCAATTTATTTTGTAGATTTGAACTTTATATTAAGCATTTGTGTAATTCTAATATCTGCATGCTGTTGTTTAAGGTTATACCGTATAGTGGGTTATTTTAGCAGAATGCTAATTTTGGCTTATTTTGGCGTTTTGATGGTAGCCTGCTAAAATTTGAATCGCTAAAATAGTCAGTTCTCTTCTTAGTATTCATTTGCAAAGAGCTGAATCACTGTGTCCGCTAAAATAAATTACGACAAAATTATTGGCATACCTTTGAGAAGGCAAAGCACCAAATTTTACACCTGCCAAGAAAACCCACTATACTGTACCTTGAAATTCAGTTTCCTTTAAATATCCCACTTTTTCCCCTCTTAGAGCCATATACTGTGACTAAAGAATTTAACGACTTTAACAGAAATCCAGTTTATATGTGTTTACAACCTACCTAAAATAGCACAATCATCCTGTCTTGCTCCATCAATGGTTTTTTTAAGAATCATGTGACCTACGTAGGTAGAGCCATCTGATGATAATTTCCAAGTGACAGGATGCTACAATTCCAGCATTAAATCAGTCACAGCAATCAAATCGTTAAATCAGACACACAAAATAAATCAACATTCTATGATCTTTGAATTTTTACAAAAGTTTTGCAGTGTTCACTTTATGACTCAAATGATTTCATTGGAGTCAGCAGACAATTTAAAATTTTCTTTTCCTTTGACATTTTATACCTTGTATGCAGCAAATGAAACTGTAGCATATTTAGAGATTTCAAATTTTCAAATAAATTTACTTTAAATGTCAAAGCTTCTGCTCTTATTATAAAATTAAATTTCATCATCTCATTTAATAAAACATTATCTATACAGACAATATATGTGTGGTAAATCCCAAAGCATGTCCTACTTAAGTCAAAAAAAATAAATGCATGGTACTTTGAAAATGAGCACATAAACAGACTACATATCTACCACAATACAGAAACTACAGCAGAAATGATCAACACATGCACCAATCAATACAAAAAAAGAATGTATGAAACACACAAAAGTAGGAATACCATTGATGGAAGGAAAATTGTCGAGATACTAGAATAGGTTAACATGAAAATGTCACTGAAAGCCAGACAACACCAGGGTCCTCTGAAAGCAGTTTGGAGCTTCATGTACAAAAAAAGTCATATAATACTGAATTTCAATTGTATTTACATTTTTTTAAAATCTACTTTCCCATTGTCTATGTATTAACTACGTTTCATTTTATAAAGAGAATCCTATGGGACACCTCAAAAGATGAGGAGCAAAATATCGGAGCTCTGTATGATCAAGTGGCATGAAGTTACCCCCCTTTGACAGTGGCTACATATATCTAATCATCATTTTTTTCTGTGTAATATTAACTAAATTGCGTAATTCTAAAGATCAGGGAAAAATCTACTGTGCACTTGCTGTAAATAGTGCATAAAGAAAAGAGTTAATGATGAAAATTTGAAAAAATTGTGACAAATGCTATTTAGAAAAATTAATGTCTAACATGAACATTGGACAGACACCACAATTTCAAAACAGGGAACTGTTAAACATAACTTCTTGTCTTCCAAAATATTGGGCTTTTTAGAATTTTTAAAATATTTTCTAAATAAATTAAATTTATTAAAATGGTTTATTATGAAAGGAAGATTTATTTTTTAAAAAGCTTAACATGAAACTCAAATGAGTAGCTTGTCGTAGTAAATTCGATTGAAATTTTCTCAGGACTTCTTTTTATGGAGTTACTTGCACTGTTTACAATTATGCAGAATTATGGAGTTTAGAACTTTTGAGTCACTTGTCAATGTATTAATTTCCAAGTTCATGTGACAACAAGTTATGTTTTATTAAAATCTTGAAATTGCATGCCTAAATACAATGCATGTAAAAGAGGCTTTCCAGTAGAGGAGGAAGCATTTTGGCGTTAGGAACATTTGGTGGTACCTTGGAACTGTCTTCGTTTAATGTTTGGCTACTACTGGAGTGCCCTGTATCTATTCCAGAGTCTTTCAAAACATGTGTCTCGGTCTCATACGCAGCGTTCTTGCAGCAAACATTGCCATGGCAACATTTTTGACAGCCATTATAGGTGTCGGGCCTACCAGCCGAAATAGTTTGCCTTAAACTGCTTTCATTTCCCCCTGGAAACATAAAAATGGCAAGCTCTAAAAAATGGAGAAACAAAGGGCGAGAGAAAACACAAAAAAAAATACAAAAAAAGAATCCACTACTGCCCAGTAAAATAAAAAAAAAACATGTATAAAACAATAAAGCAACCACAGTTATATATTCCAACACCAGCCAAAAAAAAATTCATCATATTCATCCTGAAAATGTGTCGCTAGCTTGTCAATTCTTTTTTTTCCCCTTTCAACAAGGAAGCTGTCTCTAGGAGTATAAAGAACGTTCATTTTCTTTTTTGCACTAAAGGACTAGCGTGAATCTGGAGGGGAATCAATCCCCCTATATCCGGGATCTTATTCCAGTCTATTTACACAATATTCCTTAATGTCAGGATTTTCCTGACAGCTGAAGATGATGGATGATCATAAGAATGCAGAATTGACCAAATCTGTCTATCAAACCAGAATGGATGACTAAATAAAGCATATAACTTATCCCACAGAGCTGTTTTCAAATCACACAGTCTCCAGTATCAATCTCCCTTTTTTTTTTAATGAAAGCCAACATTTTTTTTTATGTGCGAGGACTGAAAGAAAAATTCCAGTATTTGTGGACTTAATGCACTCCAAATGCATATTTTTAAAACTGAACGCTTTCAAGGAAAAAATACATAGGAAGAAGAAACAGTGTGACCTTATAATGCTAATCTTTATTAAAGTCCATTACAAATCTTCTAACTTGTCAAAGTTTACTTTCAACTAGGAGACTTTCTTAATGATGGGGCTAATTTCTAAAAACAATGTCCCATACTCTTTGTAAGCACCATGCATTACAAGTGATGCAAAACAAAACCCAATGGTATGCATGCTTCAAAGATGTCTCTGCTATTTAATGTGCAAATCAATAATGTTCTCGTGAATCGCCATCAATAATTAAATAGCTGTTCATATATTGTTATCAAAATTCCTCGACAATAGATTGCACAATATGTACAGTCTTTTTGGTCCAATGACTTAATTACATGCCATTTTACACTATGGATTTAGGTTTTCTTTAAAACAAGTCTTCTGTAACTTTGGTTATGTAATATTTCATGAATTCATGATTAGAACTTGAAATCTTTTATTGAATGTTCTTTGTACTAAAGTTCAACTTATTTATGTTATTTGCCAGAATGAGTATCATTTTGAATCTTGTGATGAAAGTGAATTATCTGCATAAAAAATGCATGTACTATAATAGTCATTTAAAGATGACAAATTTCTACACAAAAAGCTGCCAGAATCCAAATATTAAAGAGCTCCCTTCAGCATCTTCATTCCTGTACATAGAATTTGAATTTTAAAAGTAAAAAAAAAAGTACCAAAGTCCCTAAATACAATTTTCCTATGGGCAGGAAAGTTAGGTGTGTTGATAATTAAAGAGGCATTATCTTTAATACATACAAAAAACCTGAGATGGAACCACTCTGGTTCCAAATTATCTGGGTGAAAATGGTCTTAACAGATATATGTCTAAAGACGACATAATTTTACTAGCTGTTGATCAAAAATATGTAATTATCTTTTTAACATATAGCAGGGTACTTTGAACAAATTGTTTATAATTCCTTTCTTTTATCAAAACACTTTAATTAACCTAAAAACATTTCAGGTAATTAGAATCCAATTCCACAGAAAACATTTGTAATGTTAATTATTTCTTCGGGGGTCAAAACAGGAAAACCTATACCATCAAAGTACAAGTTATTGACCAATCAATGTAGAGCACGATCTCCAGCGTAAATCATCTCAAACGTCTAGACAATAAACAAGCACAAAGTGCATTTAAATTACAATCAAAAACAGCAAATTTTAATTACTATTGAAACAGCAATATCAGGATTTGACAGAAGGATTAACAGGTCATTCATGAACTTTTAATCTTCGTTGACAGAAACATGACTCCCCAATAAGTTTACTTTATGGCTCAATTAAGTTTCAACCTCATTAACCAATGAAAGGTGACAGATAGACATCTCTGAGACTTTGGGCCCTGTATATTACAGCCATGTGTCTGTTTTTCCCCCCAAATGAGGCAATATGATGAATTTTTTAAGAATACACAGAAATCAATAACTACATATGTCTCCTTATGCAGATTGTGTCTGGCTCAGCTTTTAGAAAAAAGCTATCATTCTGCAGTCAAGAGCAATACTCAGAAGCTGTAATATATATACGTGATAATGCATGGCAAGAGACAGCTGTACTCTACCCCCGCCAGACTACTTACAGACACACGGACAGCATGCAAACTCACCGACAGAAACTTTTTAATCTTAGCAGCTAATATCTCATCCTTTCTCCATCTTTCTTCTCCCATTTCTAATTCCCCTAAGCATACATTTGCTGTTGCCGGGGATATATATATATAACGGCCATATATTAGTAAGAACTCAAATTACATATAAACTTCTACGATATTTTCTTTTTTTTTTATATATTAGATAAGCCAGTTCTTAACAATTATTTAGGAAAAAAGTAATTTTTAGGAAGTATTTCATATTCTAGAAATTAGCAAAATTGACAAACATACTTCCATACTGGTTTAATAGTTAATTTTTGATGTCCACAAAAACCAAATTTGTGCTGAACTATAGACCAGATGCCATTAATTTTTGAAAGATGTGCAATACCTAAACCAGTTAGATCTATTTAAGATTGAAATCAAAACATTAATTTTCAAAATTATAGCACTGTATGTTCATTTTATACATACTACGATGAGTAAACCTACATAAACATGAATATAGAGAGGATGTATAGAGACAGTGCCTCACTTCCTATCCTTTTTTTTTAAATTCATAATTAAATATTTTTATCTTTGAAAAACATAAAAATTCTAAAGAATTCTCCTTAAATACGAGGGTCATTCAAAAAATACGTAGACAATGCGTCTCATCGTCATATAATTATTACAAGATTATGGATCAACACATTTTCGTAAACATATACATTTATTTTGTCGAAGTGTGAAGTTTCATTCCATTTCATTAAATAGAACTAAAGTTAGCCAAAATTTAAACCAACATGTTTTGTTACCACGGAGCACGTCAACCAACATTGTAACGTCAAAGATAACGTTGAAAAAGTTTGTCAAAATTATACTAATTTTCTTAATTTCAAACACGGTTTGTAGCGTCTTCTCCATTCAAAAAAGCATATCTATAACACTCAACACCTAGTTTGCGAACAATTGTACAAATATAGCTTTAATAAGGGTGTCATTGTTTTCAAATTTTCTAGTTTACCATGTAACTCTATTAATTCTGCAACAGTGAAGCAAACATCACGTTCAATGACGTTCCTAACTCTTTCGACAATATTTTTAACTTTAACCTGTTTCTTTGCAAACAATCCATCGTCCGATTCAAACACGCTACCACTCAAAAATTTTATTTTCCATTTAATACAAATACACAGATTATTTTTCATACAGATCCTGGTTAAATATAGAGAGGAATGTGAAGTATAATTTTAGCTACTTACTGCTCCGTGAGACGTCATGTTTGTTTGCTTTTTTTAATCAAGTCCATTTGTAGTTAGAAACTGATATCTTTTAAATGGAGCGACATATTACATAACCTGATTTCATTTTAATTAAAACAACAATACTTTATCAATACATGTAAATTTTATTTCGCTTCAGCTCCATTTATTAGAGGTATGGTTGTAAATACTATAAAGTGAAAATTAGTAAATTAAAAATTTTTGCTGTTCTAAATCCGTTGTAATTTTAATAAATATGAAGATACATTCCAATTTTTTTCCTCAAATTATTTGAATCTGTTGTTAAAACATTTGTACCAAATTTGGATATAATATGACGTTAAATAAAAAAGTTAGGACAAAAGTCTACGAACTTTTTGAATGACCCTCGTATAGAACTATTGACTAATATTAACTGTAAATTCTGTATATTGTTCTTTATTTTCCATCCAAATACCAGGGAAAAGTGATCAGCATGTACAGTATATCAAATAATGAAATTTAATAAATCTGTTCTTTCATACAACTTAAGTAAAAACTACAGAGTACCCACCTTTTTCACTGACGATGCTCTCACTCTCTTCCTCTCCTTCGTAACTAGAATTCTCCGGGGTGGATCTAATTTCGTCGTCGGAGCTACTGAGTGAGTGCTGTCTTTGTTTTTTGTTCCCCTTGCGGTGTTTATGGGGTTTAGGTGGGGGAGGCCTGGCACAGTCTGAGGGGTCAGAGCTCAGGGAATCGGCCCTCAGGTTCTCCATTTTCTTGCGATTGTTGTTGTTATTGTTCTTGGTTAAGTTTCTTCCCGCTGCTGCACTGGGATCAAGGTGTGAAGAGACACTGTGTGTGTAACTGTAAGATCCATTATTAGCACGCCCACTCTCGTCCTTTACTGTGGGGGACACGTTTCTCATTTTGTGACGGGAGGAGACACTGGGGGACCGCGGTGAGGGGGACTCCCCATGATACATGTCTATCCCCTCCTTCCCCTTCTCCCTCTCGGACGTAGTGGGTGACCTACGACTGGAACTAACCACGGGTGTCCGCTCTGGTCGCGACAATCGGCCACTCCCACTCCGATCCAGTTTCCCTGATGAGGGAGGTTGCATATTGTTGACTTTTGAGAGAGAAGAGTCTCTTGTTCGTCTCTTTTCACCGTCTAACATGTCTACACGCTCGCGTGAGCCACGTATTGTCTCTTTGTCTGCATAGTCATGGCCTTTCATGCCTTCCACCGGAGACTGCCTGTAGTGATCAGGGTCTTTGCTACGTTTATAGACTATGTCATGCTCACTTCGATGAGGGTCACGATGTCTTTCATCTCTGTAAATAAATATTCCATGTTGAAAATCATTCAAAAAAGTTATATTGTCTGTAACTGTACAGTTTATAACTGCATATTTTTTGACAGAGAAAAATATTTGGTACTAAAGTGGATTTTTGAATAACCAAATAAATGTAATTATGAACATTGCAAAAATGCAGAGACTGAGACTTCCTTTGTTATGAATAGGTTCACAAAAAGGGCATTTACACTAATGTATTTAATGACAACTTTATGAAAAAAAATCTTATTTATCTGAAGTCACTATAAGCTTTATTTATCCCTATTTTCTTTGGAACCTGTCCCTGAGTTTCCAGATAAGACAATTAAGTTCTATTGTACTGATCAAATAGGTGAATTATTTTAGAAAGAAATGCAACATACATGTATATACACATATTTGTATTATCATTTTCACATTTTGTCCATATTTAGACATAGTTTATGGTTGGAATTGCACAGAATGCTTGATCATAATTCCCCCCTGTTTTGTAATTTGTTTTTTGCTGCAGTTTTTTTTCCATAGTGAGACAAATGCTGCATATTGATCTGAGAGAAGAAGGTGTCATGAGAAACAGTTGCTTTAACCTTAAAAATCAATTTTATTATAGAATGCACACAGAAATGCACAGATAAAAAAAGGTAGAAAATTTATATTTGAATTCTTTTTCTTTGAAACTTTTTTTCCCATTCACTGATGTGATAAAAAAGAACCACAAGGGATTTGTTCTCCTTAACATACATATACATAAACAAGAGACATAATTTCATCTTCAGAGCCTGGCATTCTTTAGTAGCCAAATCTGTAGCCCGCCAATCCTACATATTATGTGTCTTTCTAATCAATCTCCTTATAATTACATGTACAAAAATTTTTTTATGCAATTATTTTTTTGAAATAGTATATTTTAGGGTTTAATGAGACACAAAGTCCAAACCATATAATGTAAACACCCCTCCCCCATTTTCCCAAAAGTGTCTACGTAAAATAAATAAACCACACGAAATGAAATGATCGTGATATTTTTGAGGATTTTTGCAAGACTATAATCAATGTTAGGGATTGACTCCATTCTTGGAAAGAAACCATGAAGCTATAAACTGCATCGGGGGAAATCATAAGACTTGGTCATTATAAGTGCAGTGTTATATTGATTTAGCTATTTTTACTCACGTTCTCTAACTTGATCTGCCACAACTGGGTTTATAACTATATGTTTTGTCAATGATTTACACCACAATGTGCTATATATCAGTTTGCTAAGCCATAGCTAAAACAAGTTACATAGGAATAGGGAACATTTGGTACCTAAAGATTATGTTCCTTATATTATTATGTTTTAAAAACTCCTCCCCATTTCTGCTGGGGTCATTTAGTCCCTAAGGAAAACCAAAGTATTAATTTAAAAACTGATGTCTGTGAAGCAAACGATTCTCAATATACTGAGTGCTCAGTCAATTTCTTCCTATGTCCAAATTAGACCTTGACCTTTGATTTTGTGACCTCCACATCAATGAGGGTCACTGGCTCCTTAAGCACTGTTAAGTTCCAGAACAAATGTATCAAAGTTAATATTTGCCAAGCAAAGTGTATAAAATATACTGGTAAAATAAAATACCTTTCTTTATTTTCATACCTTGTGTTTGTCTACTACCTCTTAAGGAAACAGCATACCAAGTATGATGACTGTCAAGCAAATAGTTCTGAAGATATTGGTGGCCAATATTTTCATTGTCCAGTTTGACCTTTGACCTTGTGGCCTCAAATAATTAGCGGTCTTCTACCCATAAAAGACAAGTGGTGTTTCAAATTTCAAGCTTGTCAATCAAAGTGTATTAAATATATATATACAGTTAAATAGCTTCCTATTTCTTGTTTGACTCTTGACCTTTGACCTTGTGTCCTCAAAATCAAAAGGAGTAATCTACTCCTAAAGGGGGAGCATAGTACTATCACATTTTTTTACTAGTTTTCTAAACATTTTAAAATTTTAATTTACGCAGTACAGTTAAGGTGCGCAATGGAAATATCGACTAAATTTTGTATTTAAAAATGTTCTCGGGATTAGTACATTATTTATATCGGATAATTGTAATTATGACTACATATGAGGACGATTATATTTTATATTTAGACTAGTCACGTGATGCGGCAGTCACGCGATATTAGCACATTGACTTGAAGTATTGATGTTACATATAAATATCACTAGTGCAAGGGCATAACCGATTTAAAAAGGTATATAATTATTTTCAATACACATTGTAGTTTCTAAAAAGGTATTCTGCAATTTCATTGTAAAAATTATACTTGTATGACCGAATTCTATATTTTTTTTGTCAAATGAAATAGATATAATTAAATTATTTTATATCAGGAAGCACTTTTCAGATATAAAATAGAAATTTAAAATTCTTATCCATTGTATGCCCTTGCACTAGATCGATTTATTAAGACCCCCCAAATTACCCTCCGATGTACTCGCATACAAATACACGGCAGTGTCAATTAAATACGTAATGTACAGAAAATATATTGTGTGAAGAAGACCTCATAGAATATCTGTAAAAAATATTTTAAATAGAGAATACATAAGGAAAATATTACTTGATCTGTCTCTCACTGCATACAAACTACGTCACGGGGTCATATTGACAAGTGTATTGCGATCAGTGACTTGTTTATAATTTTGATTTTAAAGACAAAACAACACGCTGTAGTAAGTTTTTATGTACATTTTAAAATTTTTCTGGTTAAATTTAGATAAACTCATTTTGTGGTATTTTAAAAAAAATAATTGAATGATGTCATAATATACCTTAACTGTGCTGCGTAGATTTTATATAAAAATAATTGTAAAAATAATTATCTGTCTACCACCTGAGATCTCTGGGCCCATCTCGTACTCGTTTATCAGGGTGAGTATCACGTCCCCTCTTCATGTCGTCTCGTGGTCCCCGCTCCCTCGATGGATCTCTGGATCGTGATGAACCCTCCCCCCTACCCATTCTATCACCATGTCGGAATTCTTGAGCAAATCTTCTATCTGTCTCTGACAGCCTTGTTTCACTGTAATGTCTTCTAGAAGCAGGAGAGCGATCGCGGTTTCGTCCCCGCTCAGTCCCTTGTCCATGTTCACGAAACTTCTCACCATCTTCAGGAGTCAACGCATATTGTTCATTATGTCTTCCTCGACCGTGTTGTTGTGAACTTCCTGTATCCAAAGATGTCTGTCTCCTAATGCCCTCCTTGGGATGAGGGTGTGGTCCCCTGGGTCCTGATTTGATATTTTCTTTGTCCGACCCCGATATGGTTCCATCTGCTTTCTTTTCGTAGATTTTTGGTCGTTTTTCATTAGGAGGACTAATTTCTGCCTTGATGGAGGCTGTGTCGCTCTCTGTCTGGGTGTCTAGACCTAGCTGGACTGGTTTAGCCATTCCCCCGTGGTACCAAGCCCCTGTTTTTGCCAGAAGATCCTGCTTCTTACGGCAAAGGTTACAGGACCACACAGTCTGTAAATATAGAATTGATAAGTGTGTAAAATTGAATTGGCATCAACAAATTTTTTCCATTGCAGAAAAAAAAGTCAAGTCTATTGCATAAGGCTGAAAAGTAGACAAATCTTAATTCAAAATGGTGCAAAAAATTATTAGTAATCAGACTCTCAGACCATGCATGTATTCTACAAATGAATTTCACATTTTAACAAATGCATAAATGAAAAAAGAAAAAGATAACAATAGAGGTCTATTTCAAAAAATCAACAATCAATGCAAATCTGTGAACATGGTATTAACAGAGAAATACCAGCGGTGGGATCAGATGCACAGAAGTAGTAAGCATACCCTGTTCTGAAATACAAATTTCGAGACTCTTATGATGAGAAAAGAATTGCTTTAATTACTGAAGTATTGTAAATGTGAAAATTTACATGAGCTCTTTAATGGGCTAATCAACACCGGTAGATAAAAACCATTTGCAAGGGGGTTATTTCAGGCACAAAAGCGGACAAAATTGAACATGACTTGAAAGTTAGAATTTTTACTTGTTTACATATATATACTTATCGAATAATAAAATATATTGTTGATACATTCTTGGAAATGTCTACTAATTAATTTTCCAAAAAAAAAATAAAAATAAAAAGGACAGATATGGGACAGTTTTCACTTCCTGGATCAATATTCAAGCACTTGAACAACTCCACTCCATGAAATGTCACTTGGCTTGTAAAACCATTACTTCTGGTACACTTTATTGGTGCTTTTACCTTCACCATTCTGACATTATGTGTTCTGTTCACTGCCTGCCACTCAGTGTGGGAGGTGAGAAGTGCTTGCTTTTATGTGACAGTGAATATTTTATTAGGGATCAGCCAATAAACTGTCATCCTCCCCCTCCTACTATTCCCTCGTGGATTGTATAATTCCTACTCAAAGTCTAATCCATTAAATAGTCAATTTTTACAAATATTACACAACATATAATTAGTACTTTTCCAATAGATATGGCTAATAATTTATTCCAGGATCTGAAATTTGTGTCCATCTTTTAAATCAAATTTGAATGCCTTTTCAATTGTGAATATCTTTTTAACAAAACATATAACACTATAATAAATTAACAGTGATTAATATACCAGTAACAACAACCAAAATTAGCTTAACGGATAAGGGTACGTCAACAATATTTTGTAACAATCATGTTTTAACTGTACACAATCATGTTTTAACTGTAAATCACTTTTTATCTCCATAATTACACTTGCACTCATATAATTGTATGATTAATGTTAATATTCAACAAGCTCGCGAAAATTTTGTCTTAAATTTCGCGAAAATATAGTGATCTACAATATGCAACAAACAGATTTTTTTCAAAATAATTAAAGATTTCAAAATAATTAAAGTATTCATCAAATATATATCAAATAAACAAAGAAATGCATACATAACTAACATTACATCAAACTCAAGTACTGAAAAACTTTGAAGACACTCTTCTCATGCATTGAAAAAAATCACAAAAAATCCATCTGTACTTTACTACAAATCACATATAAAACTATTTGCCATTTTACTAATTGTCTTTACAACTATTGCCCTTTAGAAGATATTAATGTGACATTTTCCACATCTTAAGTTTTAAGCATAGGACAGCTAGACACCAATTATAAGATCCGTTCCCTCAAATTACTGTAAAAATTATCATCCCCCAATTTCTTAATTCTAAATGTCAAACATTTCACTCATTTGTTGTAAAAACTTTCGCAAAGACTGTGTTTTTATATGATGAAGTACTGCTACATCTAGTGCATTCAATCCAGGTAGCTCGTTCGTTTTCTACATCTCTGAATCAAACAGCTGAATGCAAAAGTTTCATTAGATCCTGAACATGCCACATATCAGACAAACAAACACAATCATGTACCCATTTTTAAAACAAAGCATAACTAAATGTGAAAAAAATTGAAGAACTAAGAAATCTTGCATGTATATGCATGCAGTTATAATAACGGAATGTGTTCAATGGATATGAATTAGCATCTAGTTTTGTATTTGTTTCAATTCAGAAAAATGTTACGTATACAGCCAAATTTAACTCAAAAATACATGTAAACTAAAGATTTGAAATCATATATACTCCACATGAATGTTAGCATTTAATTATTTTTTTAATTTTTTTTTTTTTTGGAGTTAAATATTTCATTAATTGTATTAGTTAATGGGAATGAAAGGTTATGATGATCACACTGACCAATGAGAATTGACTTCAGTGAATACAACAGCCAATCGAAACTTACAGTTGGTGGATTGTTGACAGGGGGTGCAGTTTTATCATCCAATTTCTAACAGACAGGAAAAGAAAACATGGTCAAGTTCAAAGCAAAAATAGCTGAGTTAATAATTTTAATTATTACCAAAACTAAGTCTTTCATAAATATACTTAAAGACACATATATAATTTTGGAAGAAATATATCATAAAATAGATGTTGCAGGTATACATGCATATATAATTTGATCATGAAAAAAATATTTGCATCAATCTACATTAAATCAACGACGGCCGGTGCATTTATCTACTTGGGGGTGTGCAAGCGATGCAACATGAGAATTAAAAGAAGAAGACCCTCTGAGGCTATATTGCTCTCAATTTTCCGATGATCTTCCCCCGCACGGATCAATAGGAGGCATGGTATCCCCATCGACCCAGTAAAGCACGTAATTCCGCTTCCCTTTGTTATCTACATATAAGCTATTGATCTGTTCTCTCTGATGGAACCCACCGCTCTGAGATGCCATAATTAAGAGATATGCAACCACAAGTCATTTGGTGAAATTCTAAAATGTGCACCAGGTTTCTAAGCTTATTAATTGCACAAGCATTCAATAAACTTTATAGATGAGATGAAATGTATTGACCATATCATTTATATAAAAGCAAAAGAAAAAAAAAATTTGGCAATTTCATAACAAAAACATTTGAACATATTCAATAATGAACAACTCACATTACTGGTATGTTTCTTTACAATATATAAAATTATATCCAGATATGACTTTCCAAAACACCAATCATTAAATAGGTATATTAACAAAGAATACACAAAGAAAAGTAAAAGCAAATTAGTTCAACAGTTGATTCACTGTAAATTAATGGACTTGTACATGCAGGCCATTTTTTGGTGTTGTGTAATATTTGACTGCTGAGAGTATTTTTTTTCATGAGATAGCAAAAAGATTTCGCAAAATCACAAAATACAGCACATTATAACAGGCTGTAGGAAGAAATTTCAGTTTAGGTGGGCATAACCTAATAATTTCTGTGGGGGGACCAAATATTTTTCAGTTTGCGAGTCACACTAAGATATCAAGTAGATATACAGTATACAAGAGTATCTTCAGTGGGTTGTTTAAATTTTCATCTTTGTTACATTCATTGATGATGTGACATTGGTCTATCTGCACTTTCAGAGGAGTGCATCTAAGTAAACAAGAACAGCTTGCCAATAAAACCCTTACAAACAAACACCACCAAATGTTACACCAGAAATCACAATCTCAATGTTATTTGAATGCATATCAAATCTGAAAAAGGGGAAGGTCATACTAAATCAACATAATAAACTTGCACTGTTTCTATGAAAAATGTATCACTTGATTAATGCTAAAATTGATCAGTATGGTTATCTTTCATGAACAAATGTATCTATATATATATATATATGCAATTACCTTGTACATGTAAATATAAAATTTGTGCAATTAATTCAGAAAACATGAACATCCCAGTAAGTTTTTATTTAAATTGATTGACATTTTTTCACAAACATTTTGAAGTACAAAAGCAAAGAGTTCCACAAATGTATGTGAAAACAGACCCCAGAGTGACAACAGTTTTGAGTGAAACCGATCAATAAAAAAATTGCAAATAAGTATAGTCAAATTAAGTCTGCAATGTGGTCTCTGCCTGATTTCACATTATTCAAATGTCACATAAATAGTCTAAAATTATATCATATAGTCGTAGATGCCGATTATAAGTTTAATGCGATGGAGCAATGCCAGATATGATCATGTGCCTCTGAGTGTTTGCACAGTAAGCTATACAGCATAAGCATGACAGGTATTGATTGAATTCTTCTGACGATGTCCAAAGCTACACCAAACAGTCATTGTGAATGTAAATAACTGCAGTCTATGAAAACAGCCAATAACTCAAACTTGCAGAAGTTTCATAATGAATTTCTGCAACTGTACAGATCACCATGGAAGGATCAAAACAAAGAATGTTTTTTGCAACAACGAGAAATTCTATACCATAGCAAATGTTTATAAGTAGAAGAATCTAGAAAATCAAGATTCCCTAATTATGTTAATTAAAGAGCTAGGTTTCCATTGTGCATAAAGTGACCCTATCCATAAACCAATTAATTAGCTGTCACTTTTTATCCAATTTCAAACATCATTTAGATATTCGTAATTTCATTTCCTATTAAAAAGTTTCCTTCGTGAGTTCAGGTATTGGACAACAGACTGTGAAATTGCAGTGTTCTTGAATTTTGCAAAATAAACAGGTGTTTCTGCATGTGTACATGTACCTTCAATAAAGAATTAAAATACAGTAAAACTTGGTTTTAAGGAAGGTTACAGTGGAACTCTAAATTTTGCTTCCCTTTAACCAAGATTCTTTATATCTTTAAAGTTTAAAGCAATATGTTAAAAGAAATGTCTTCCATGAGATTCATTAAAAGTTCTTGATAACTAAAATATTCTGATAGGTGGGTTCTTCATAACCCAGTTTAACTGTACAAACACAACTTTTAATCCTGAAAATGACTGCTTTATAACTTCTGAAACAGCTCTATCATTATATAGTTGCACTTTTTCGATCACAAGTTGTGCTCTATGTGAAACAATGAAAAAAAAACTCAAACTTTAGTTAGTTATTTTTGAAGAATATTTCAGGATAAAGGAATAACAGTTCATTTCATGATGTCATAATTAACGCATGACTAGTGAGGAAGTATTACTAGGTCATTTTCAAAAGAAATGAAGATACCAAAGACCCAAGTAATATCAAGTGCATATAAGAACAAAAAAGTTTGGATAACTTTTGATTGGATGGTATACATGCTGCATAATGCAAGACTGTGAAGCAATGGAAACCTTTGGATATTAGCTGGAGATCTCTATATGAAGGTCAAAGATCTGAAAAGCACCGCAGAATATTTGAATATCCAAACAATGCTCCAAAATCCTTCCCCTGAACCAGCCCTCTCTGCACCAGTGAGGAATAGCTCCATATTGATTGTACTGATTTTCTTATATAAAGATAACAGCAGTTAAATATTACCAAGCTTAGAATCAGCATTCAGACTTGCACAGTAAATTCAGGGGAGCAAACATAGGTCCCTACAGAGCTAACTTCCTTTTTCACCATTAAAATATAGGATTGACTATTCCTTGTTTGTTAGGCTAAATCTTTAATGATTCACTAAAATATCTGCTATTCATTACAATATTTCAATGTAATAGTATTTTGAAGCACTTTAATATCTTGAAATCTTTGCAATGCCATGCAGTAGAAACAAAAATTCTTGTTCATGTTTAATTCACAATCACTTTGTCTCAATCGTTTGCCCTTATAAAATTGTTATTGATTCACAGTATTGTAAAATTTGACCTTCAAGACCACTAAGCTTCAAAGATTCCCTACAATTATGATCAAATACATTATGTATGAATTATCAATTCAAGTAATTCACTACAGTGATGCACCAATTTTCTTGAAATCAGCTTGTGGTAAACTGCATCCCTTGCTTAAGGAAAGGTACTGACATTTTTAACAATGCATCTCATAAACACGGTCAGTGAATGAAAAATAATACTAATAACCTTTGAAATTCATATTTTTTTGTTTTATTATAAAAATCATCGACTATAAGGATTATGGGTAATAAACTGTATGAAATGACATAATACACATAAAAATCTTCACTGCCTTTTGGCATCGAATGTTCCTTTGACATGTGCAAATATATCTGCAATAACTGTTGTTATAAATTCCTTGAGTGTTCTGGCTAGAAGTGAACACTTATCAATATTATGATAAATTATTAACGGACAGATCCAGCGAGCAAGTGTTCAATTACACGGGATAACAATAGAACTGTGTATTGCTTTTTATCCCTTATGTGCAGTACATGATTGACTGTTCCATTGTCAGTGACTAATGGAAAAGATGGGTTGTGATGAAAGGTCCAGTATCATTTAACCACGGACAGAAAAACTTAGTCACAGATGGATGTGCAGCTAAATACAGTCCATTCTGTAAATTTGATTCAAGAAAAGAAAGAGGCCCAAAAAGAACCATAGAGTGTCAGTCATGGTGAAATAGAAAGGGGGTGGAGGAGAAAAGAGAGAGAGAGAGAGAGAGAGAGAGAGAGAGAGAGAGAGAGAGAGAGAGAGAGAGAGAGAGAGATGGAAGATGCAGGGTTACATCCTTAATCACATCTCACTTCAGTGTTTTTGACAAAAAGACAATCCAAAAATTCAATGCATGTCCCTTATTTCTTCAGTTCTTTTTAACTTTAATTTTTATGAGATTTATTTTTGGTATAGTGTCTTAAAGCCATCCATGAAAATCGTTTGCTTGGCATAACTTAAGTGAGAGTTGCATACCCAGGAGAGAGGGAACTTATTTTCTTTCTTTTAAACATTTATTAAAGTAAAATTTAAATTGTTGATAAAATGTTAATAAGTAGTAAATATAATTTTTTTTTAACATTTTAAAATAAAAAAAAATCCCATCAACAGAGAACACTGATTTTGCTTAGATCCTATCATGGTGCATGTGATAAGCGGCCAAGATTGATTGATTGAATGAATAAAAGAAATTCTTTTAGGTCAATAAATTTTTTTCAAGAGGAGTCATTATGATGAGATGGGAAACAATACTATTGGAAACAGTTAATAATTTTTTGCTTTAGGATAGGTTTTTTGGTATATTGGGGTGGTTTTACAAAAACACTCATGACTCAAGACCAGAAACCTTAGTTGATTTCAAATTTTGAAAAATTAATGATATTCTGAAGATCTGCAATCTCAATATGATGTTCCTTAGCATAAGTTTGATACAACACAAGTACATTGCAAAACTCCTAAAGAGAACATTGTTAGATATTAAAAAAAATAATGATGAATTTACATGACTCACTAGTTGAGTACTAAGTAGTAGTACCTTATTTTGCTTGACTGTCATTCTTCCTCCACATCTAGCACAAGATTTAAGTTGGCAGTAGTGACAAACATGTCCAACACCATCGGCAAACTTTGTCTTGTGGCAAATCTGGCACACTGCTCCTGTGTCTAGCTGACCTTGAGGACCAAGCTTTTTTGCCTCCAAGTTGATTTTGTCAACAGATTGGCGATAGGCATCAAAATCATGTTGCATTTTCCTGAAAGAAGAAAGTATTATCATACTAATATAAGTATGTATGAAAATGTGTGTATATTCAATATCCATTGAAAATTACATTTGCCCCTTTTAGTTCATGACTGAAAATAATAATTCCCAATTTAACCAACCATTCATACTGTCTAGACACATAAAGATGCTTCTCGAGAATGTGGCCTCATACCTGTATCATTTTCAGACTAAAGACTTTACAAATCTCAACTCATTGAACCTTGATCAGCACAATTATGCATAGACAGCAAAAACAAAAGCAACCAATATTTACAAGTATATAGCTCAGTGATAAGAATATGAGCAATATATGTCTTGTTTTGTTTTTTCCCTTGCTTAAAATGGATTTAGTAATATGCAGGTCCAGCATGATTTTAGTTATAATAGCTTTATTAACTATTTTGCATAAATAAAGTTTTATTTTTACCCCTATTCCATTAACATCTAGTATATATTTTGTTTTTAAAAGCATAGATATACCAACTTCAATCAAAACCAACATTGGACATGGGGAGTACAAGGAACTAAAAATAATAAATTCATTAACACTGTCTAATGTTTAACATGATACTTTGAAATTTTGTTTATCTAAAAATCAAAATTTAAATGAATGACCAGAACCCATCAAACTCTGTCCGTTTATAAACAATTCATTGGCTCAGAGGAGGGCAAATCCTGATTCCTGGCTCTCCACAACCTAACCTTTCCAGAAAACTGGAGACGACCTTCATTTCTCGGATATGTAAAAAAGAATCGGCTGATCTTAAAACATATGTAGTAAAGAGAAGATGTGCGAAAATTAACCAGTTATCTTACTGTAAAAGCGAAAGGTGTCAAGATGTCCGTGCTTACCTGCTTACCTGGAGCTGTTCTTCCCAAAGGAAGCAAATTTTGTAGTGAGGTGTATAGCCAAAGTATTTGGCTATGCATTTTCCCGAGTTTGAGGTTAAATAATACTATTCGTGGATCCATCATACAGGTCAGTCTAGTCGATGGCAATTTATTAATTAGCTAATTTTATTAAAGGATGAAATGTAGATTAAACTTTATCCTCAGCTTCATGCGAATAAAGCGCCTCGAGGCTTTTTCTATTTCCTACAGCTGAAGAGTTTGACGAAAGGGAAGTAATCGCGAAGATGCCTCGAAGAATGTGTCTCCTATATATAAAATTGTTGCGATAATAGTCAATATAAAACTATCCTTTCGAATAGCAGCGGATATATTTAATCAAGAATTATTATGAATTTAAGCTCCTTCGATATATCAATCTATACTTTATTATCTCATTTGCTACTAATGATAAATATGTAATTATATAGGGTATATGTAATTCGTTTATCCGCAACTCCTCTCATACCACTGAAGGAAATTTAATGAAACTTTCACAGAATCTTTATTACATATTGTCATTGTGAACCTCCTATTTTACTTTTTGATCTGACATATATTTTGGATTTTCCAGAGCAAAACATAAACAGTGCCATTATATTCATATGGGAGGCGGGGGGTATCATTTAGTGAGCTCATTGCTCACAGTACCTCTAGTTCGTTTTCTGTTCGTTGATCAAATTAATCTGGACTTATACAGATAATTAGTCATTCTTCATTTCGCATTTTCCAATCAGATTTAACATATGTATCAATGCAAGCATAATTTTTTTTTTAAAATCACACCTACTTGCATACATGTGTGCATTGATTTAGACCTAGGCCCATATTGCTATAAATTTTACATGTATAAATTTTGTTTATAAGGAGACAAAATTTTTGCACTTAGTTAAGTAATACATTCCATAGTTCTAAACGAACCAAGATGCTTATGCCATCTGAGGACATCGAGTGTCTATATTCTGTGACTGCAGACAAAATGGCGGCTGGTCTATCCTCACCTTATCATTTCTTGTTCCCTTTCCTCCTCTTCATGCTGCCTTCTCAGGACTTCCTCTATCTGTTTCCTCTCTGCTTCATCAAGATGGGAGAGGTCCGGCATCGGAGGCAGGGAGGGACGTCTGCTAGTCGTCGACATCATTCCAGAGTTTGAACTAACCTCCGGTGTATTCAACTCCCGATACAGATGCTATGAATGTAAAGCTGCGAAACACTAGATTCAACATTAATATATATCCAATCCGGATAAAGGATGAGAGAGAACTGGGCTTTGTATTATTCCTCACTTTCTACATTTTTCCCCTCTCATGCTCGAGATATTCTCATTATCAATATTGAATAATTTTCATTTTTGTCAAATGACCTCCAGCGAGATGAAAAACGTTAGTTGAGATCATTTGTGAAATATCGGTAATCCATTTCGCGACATTAGCTATGCGACACTTATTAAATATTTATGTCAAGACCGCCAATCATCTTGCAGAATGTTTGTGACGTCAAGATATTGGCGAGTTCTGTGGATGCACTACTTGGAGAGTGGATATCGATTTCTGTTCATTTATCGCGCCTGTAGTCCATTGAGACTCTATTTAATGTATACAACCAGCAAACGTATTCTTTCAAACCGTCGATATATGCATATTATAACATAATAACGACAAACTGTGGAATTGCCTCTCTCGGGGGAATGGCTGGCTTCTTCTTGTCGATGGCGCCTGAATTCAGCATCAACGAGGTCTAACGATGCAAGGAAAATTTTCAATATGTTTATTTTTCAGGCTATTTCATGAGGTCGAGAAGGCAAATATAGGTCAGAGTATAAAAATAGAGAATCGATCTATCGATTATCTAACAAAGACTTCAGATTTGCACTGATCGATTCTCACTCAGGCTTGTTGCACCTGTTACCAAAACAGGAAATAGATTGAGGACATCATCAGATCATTGAAAGCCAATGCACCTATACAGAAGTTGTAGATAATATTCAAAATATCGACAGTATGCATCGTTTTGCAATGCATGAATTACTACTGTATATTATTTTTGTGTGATTTTTAGTAAAAAAAAAAACACCTTTATATGTATGATTATAAGTACCGGGTGTTTAATTTAAATTGAACCAATGTCAGCAAATTCATGAAATTGGACAGTATGATAATTTTGAAATTCGTCCTGAGACACCTGCTATACACAGGCGGTGTCCACCTACCTGCCTTTGTATATTGTCTGTATTTTTAACAGATGGGTTAATCAAGTCAAATTGATCCAAGTTTTATTGACAGATTACACAAAATATTATCAACCGAGCGATAAATTTGGTCATTATGAATTTAAACAAAGAAAATGAGATTTTCCCAAAACTCGGACAGGTTCAATAAAAGCATTCCACTGCATGTGTGTTAAACTGAAAAAAGACTATTTCAGATGTCACAGAAAAATACAATTCGTAAAAGTGCAAAACCCCACTCATCAAACAAATAAGTATTTTGGGACAAAAGACTCCCGAAGCAACCCATCTTTTTTCGAAGGGGTTTTCCTCAGCGATAATAGTTTTAGAGAATTGTATATCACATTGTTAAACATTGGACGTTCGAATTTCACGAAAAAGTTTTGAAAAATACAAACATGTACTTCTAATCTGTGTGAATAATGCAAATATCTTTTTTTATGCAAAAACGTTCAATGGGATACACGAACCGGTACAACTGCATAGTTCCATGTATTTTCTACCATTTACCGTGTTATATCTCGATCAACTACCACTATATCAATATCCCAGAATTGTTATAAAATGTAGAATGATTACGTTATAAGGGTGTGTAATTGCACTACTTCAAAAACTGACAAATTAAAAAAAAAACAAGAAGAAGGATTAGACGTCCATTGCTAAATTGATCTAGTTTTACTGACGTATTAAGATACTATACTTTGTCTCCATCCATATAGGTTGATCAACTTGCCCCTAAACTGCATGATTTTAATTTTTTTATAAAATCTATCAAAGGTTCAAACTTTAAATAGAGATCGAAGTGTATCAAATTGACAAAAGTACGCTTACATGTACTTTTTCAGTCTTTTTGTCATTTAAAATATCTTTTTTAAATTATAAATTAGGATAAACTAGGCAGATAAAAATAAACCAAAATTTTGTAATATCATTTCACACATAGCTCTATTTAAAACGTAAGGCGATGATCTAAATATCATAACAAGCTGTTGCGTCATAACAAACTGTCATTAAAATTCGTGAATGGTATTTAAATGGATATTCTTAATTAGTAACTTATGATATGACATTATTAAATAATGAAATATGAGTCATCAAGGCCGTAACTAGGCTCAAATTTTTAGTGAGGCAAGGGCGCTGGACATTCCTAGTATGATAGCCAGTGATGAGGGTTTCCAGGGGAAGGGGGCCTGAAACATGGATATTAGAAAATAAAAGATTTACTCTTAGAAAGTTTTTATGTTTTTAATTGTTGACCGCATGGCACAGTGGTTAGAGCGTATAATTATGCTCTAAAGTCGCAGACTAAACATTTTGAATTATATCTTACATGCTTTGTAAATGAAAATGAGGTACCTAGTGAGATGAACGATTTACAGAAATTGAAACAAAAGTTGAAAATGTAAATAATTTAGCATGAAGACGAACATAATTCATAAGTTCAATGTGAAAAATTGTCACTTTTCAGAAAACTCATAAAATTTAGTGAGGCATTTGCCTCACTTGCCTCAATGGTAGTTACGGCCTTGGTCATTCCATATGAAGTACAAGAATAACATGCCCGGCACTTGAAAATAGTTTTTATCAAGTTTTGCGTCGTAAACATCATTACGAAAAAACACCAAAAACTAGCTGTTGTTTTTATCGTTTTTCTTAATTAATTGTCTTTTGCATTCTCTATTGCTTTGTTTTCACGAAAACGATTGTTTCTCTCCCAAAACTACATCAACGTTCATGCTATGTGACCCTAATGATAGCCCTTATGATTTTTTTGAGTATAATACATGACAAATGCTTTATTATAACGAAAATATGCAAAATATCGAGAAATGTAATTGTGTGTGGCTTTCAAGCAAAGTGACACTAATTTCAAATTAACCGGGTGGCATTAAATGCAAAATTTACATCATTTTTAGTATAACCCTTCATACACAAATCCAAAAACACTTAGAACTGAACTGCTTACAAAAAAAATTTCCAAATCCGGAATATAATGATGTACAAGTCATAAAACGTCACCATTTAAAGCAATGACATTTTGGGAAACAAACATCATTACTTATTGAACTTGAAATAAAAGACCCAACAGAGTAAGACAAAACTGTTTCATATTTGGATGTTTTACAGACTGTTTATTATCCCGCTATTCCCTGTCTAAAGCCCAGGTGAGAAAGGAGGAGAGTTGAGTGTATAAAGCCAGCAACCCTACCTCGTAAAACCCAAGTATGCTACGCTGCCCAAGAAAATTGAAAATTGACCTTGGAGACTGCAACAAATTTCGAGGGATTACACTTTTCTCTCTCACCAGCAAGGTCTTCAATGCATCACACTAAAAGGCGTCGCAGCCAGCTGCTGTGAAAGACATGCTTTACCAGGGGCAGATCTGATTTAGAAATATAGAAAATTTTGTTTTGACCATATATTTGTATTAGAACAGATACTTGAGAAGTTATCAAGTGGAACAGCATACCCTATCCTGTATTCGTTAATTTTGAGAAATTAAGCTTCTTGATAGCTTACACCGTGTGTCTCTCTGGAAAACCCTGTGTTGCAGCACCCCAAAGAAACCGGTTCATATCATCCAGTCCCTCTATGTAGATGTGTGTCCCGAGTAATGAATAACAGCCAGCCTACAGAGCCCTTTGTGCAAAGAAGCAAAGGTGTATTCTGTCACCTGTGCTATTTTCTCTCGAAATTTGCCTGGTTTATGAAAAAGAACAGCACAAAAGGCAAAAAACAGGGATTGAAGTAGACACTGACCTTAATCTTAGAGAACCTGCATTATGCTGATGACCTTGGCCTCCTATCAAACAGGCACCAGGATATTCAGTAGAACACAGACCTTCTCAGTGAAACGGTATACAAAATTGGATTGAAAGTCTACGGCATTAAGACACACGTATTACGAGTAAATACCACTGATTCTTTACTGATCAACTCAAACCACAAGAGGATGTTGAGGAGGTCTGTCATCAAAATCGCCACAACGGGCGATTGTGACAAGAAAATCGACACCAGAATCAGCAAGGCAAACCAGGCTTTGTCCATGTTGAAACCAGTATGGAGATCCATAGCTTTAACAAACACACCTTGATCAGGATCTTCAACAACAATGTCTTCAGTATCCTCCTGTATGGATCAGGGTGCTGGAAGACCTTTTTGGTAATTGAAAGCTGGGGGTCTTTCAAACCAAATTCCTTATACGTATTCTCAAGAGTAAAGATATACGAGTAGATATTTTGGTCAAATACCATATGTGATGAATCCCACTGTGGGACGTGGAGACCTTTCCTTCGAACGAGACTGTATAAACCGAGGTTCTGTGTCGCTGTAGGTGCTGGCACGAAAAAGATCCCTCACTGCTCAATGGTCCTGAGTGCCGAGTATAGGACAAAATTTGTAGCTCTCCACCGGCAAGTGGTGGCGTCTCCACATGAGTAAAAAATTCTTGAGAGGGACGTTAAACAACATACAGTGAATTAATCATATGTGATGAAGAACTCTCTACTACATTCTATTGAAAAGAACTGGGATGCCAACAATATCGCTGACCATCCAAACAAGGCGCTGTCAATGACTTGGTCATACCATGTAGGTTGCTCATAGATGGATACCTTCGGGAAAAAGAAGAAATAGAGGCAGTTCAAATGTGAGGTGGAGATGATCTGTCCTCAAAGACCCGAAAAGCAGAGGTCTGACCATGGAGACATCACCTCGAGCAGCTGCAGACCTAGTCAAATAGAAACACCTTGTAGCTGCCTTTTAGCATCCGATGACCCAGATCGAATTGAGTGAATGATACTGTTAACATATGAGATCTTGCCTTCTAACTAATCTGAAACTAAACAGCATGCAATCATTATTCATTTTGCCGAAACAGGTTATTCACATATAAGATGATGCTACATGGATGACAACCACTTCGTTTGAAGTCACCTTTTCGAACGTTTTATGGTAGTTATAATGACCTTGTTAGTAAGTGTTAATAAAACAGAGTTAACGAACCGTAATCAAAAATACCGATCGGGTGCAGTACAAACAGATATCAGGTGCCATGGAGGAGTATACATCTCCTCTAGATCAGTCACACCGCAGTGTGCAGCAAAACGAAAAAACGTTGAAAATACAGTGTGTAATTAATAGCATAGCAATTAGTATTTAAACAAGAGGTCCATGGGCATTAAAGGTCACCGGAGCAACAATTTTCCAACAATTGAATTTGGTTCATGATTTAAACCAGAGGCCATGACATTCACAATTTTGAAAGAGGCACCATTGCTCATCATAACTAAAGACTTAAACTGCTCAGTTTGGTTACTTAATACCAACAGGCAAAGCAGG